ATCGGTGAGCTGCGAGGGATTATTATATGTCCTGTGCTTTTTTCGAGATCCTTCCAAAGCAAAAACCGATCCTCTTCATAAACGTTAATTTGGTGCCATGTATTCCAAATTGTCACACCTATAATATTATCCTTATTCCTTATGCTAGAAGCCAATGTTTCCATGAGCATAGCAAATATTAAAGGAGACAAGGAGTCTCCCTGTCCCATCCCCTGGTGAAACGCCAATATTTCTGATTCTCATTCATGAATCAGTACTTTAGCAAATTCTCCATCATACAGCCTTTTAGAGGTGTAATAAATCCCTTGCCCAAATTCACGTTCCCCTTAACTTAAAACAAATAGTGCCATTCCACACGATCCAAAGCTTGAAGCAAATCCAATGAGAGCATTGCTATTTTCGGTTTCTCCTCAGCTGCCCCAAATTTAATATTTAGCGTTCTTCCAGTCGCGTCAGCTGCTTGTCGGGCTGGCATCAAGCTGTACTGATCTGTGTAAGTATACTCCACTAGGAAACTGATCAATCTTTGAGTCAAAATTGAAGAAAATGAATTTGATCCTCGCTTTGTAATGTAATTGGTGTGTTTGCTAAGGGAAGGCTAAGGTCTTTTCTTGTTTTAGTGTCACTATTCTACTAGATAATCTCCAAGATTCTGGTAGTTTCCTCCACCTAATAATGGGATATACAATTTTGACAAGTGCATGGATACACCCTCCGCCCAAATTTTGTAATACTGACCACCATAATTTACCCCTTTCTTAGTCTCAGAATAGCTGTTCTGCTTTCCACTACTGTTACTGGAGAGTTAAGCTGTTGTTTATGCTTTCGGAAATTGGTATTGTTGGTAATATACTCACAAATCTTTAATATGTCTCTCTCAATGAATTCTGTCTTGTATAACTCCTGCTACTAGCAGCTCCTCTTTAAGTTCCTCATGACTGCATTTGGTTTAATGTGTCTAATCTTTCCAATTCTGATTCGGTCCCCTAAAGTTGTATAAAGGTTTCAATTTCAACTTGAAATCGAAAATTGAAAATTCAATTTCAATTCCAACCCATTTCTTTAAGTCCTTCTGTCAGTCTTTCTTTCAACGTCCAGTTATTCTGGGCCTCTGTTTCTCTTTTTTCTTAATCTTGCTCTCTCCTCTATAAAATACCCTTGGAAGAAGGCTTGTCGAGTCTCCCAAAACTCTGCAGGCTCTATTGGCTCTTTCTCATTAGCCGCATAAAAAACATAATTTCTCTTCTAATTCTTGGAACAATTGGGGGATGTGTAAGTATACTTGAACGTAACTTCCAAATGTTAGGTTTTTTCTCAAGGATTGTAGTATTGTTATTTAAATGTATAAGAAGGCAAATGGTTTTATTAGAAATAAATATTTATTTTACTGTATCAAAAATATAGTATTTTATTCTTGCTCGCAGTCTTTAGCCATGCTGGCTGTTGGAATGGATCTGCATACTTCAGCCAGACCTCGGGCCAGAGTTCGGATTCTGTCCAATGCTGTCCCCGCAAGGCTGGGCTTCTGCTTTCTGCGTTGCCGCTGCCTCTTCAGCGGGCACTTTCCAGCCAGCCAGTGGGGCTGACGGAATTCCCCAGGGCATCTCAAGGAGAGCTTCCGCCAGCCAATTTTGCACATTTTGGACATATTTTGCTTGCCTTCCCTAGACACCCCTTCCAGGTATCCCGCAGAAGCACCAACACTATGCAGCTATCAGGGGCCCTCTCCGAGCAAACACTGAATTTTAAGCATTCTGCCAACCTGCCCATCTTGGCCAATGTCGGGCCCGGTACACACGCATGGGCGTCACAGGCCGATGTTGAGCGTTTTGGACAGATTTTGCTTGCCTTCTACAGACACCCCTTCCAGGGGTCTGGCTGAAGTGCCAACGTTCCGCGTGTATCAGGGGCCCTCTCCGAGCAAACACCATGAACTTGGAAGCATTCTGCCAACCTGCCCATTTCAGCTCCTTTCGGGGCCCTGACCCACGGGTCAGCATCGCCGGCTGATTTTGGGCATTTTGGACAGATTTTGCTTGCCCTCCCCAGACACTCCTTCCAGGTGTCTGGCAGAAGTGCCAATGCACTGTGGGTATCAGGGCCCTCTCCGAGCAAACACTGGGTATTTGGAAGAATTCTGCCAACCCACCCATTTCAGCCACTTTCAGGGCAGGGACCCACGGATATTTGTACCCAATTGAGACGGTTCATTTCCATATTTGGGCACCAGCTACCCTGCAGTCTGAGTGAAAGAGAGGCCCTCGTGGATCCATATATCACATAGGAAGAAAGTTTGGAGATGGAACTGAGCAGATGCTGGAAACCTGAAACTCATGTTAACATAGGAACTAGCTTGCCTGGCCTAAACAGATGAAATTACTAGGAAACCAAGCTAGGTCTAAAAGTATTCATTTGTTTAATGATTCATGCTGTCAAAACAGGCGTTAGAATGATTAGAATCTCCAATCAAGAGGTTTTTTTTTTTTAAGTGAATCAAATAAAAATAGCAGATTGGTCTTAAGCTACCTCTCAACAAAAAGTAGGGGTTTAGTTAAAAATATAATGATGATAATAATTATCTGATTGTAAAGAAATATCCCATGATCCCAAGAACGAGAAGAAATTAGTTAGAAAAAGTTAGTTGAGATAGTGAAGCATAATGGTGCAAGTGTTAGCATCTGGAGATAGTTATCAAAAACTAAATGGACCTAAAGCATGTTAAAAGGACTGATTTATGCTGCAGTTAGAATTGTTTGCATTAGAATGTGTTTTCACTGTGCAATGAATTTTGTGCTATTAGAATCATATTCTATTAGAATTAGAATTCTGCTTTTAGAATCATAAAATAGTAGAACTGGAAGGGGCCTATAAGGCCAGCGAGTTCAACATCCTGTTTAATGCAGGAGCACAAGTTAAAGCATCCCTGAAGGATGACTGTCAAACTGCCTCTTGAGCATCTCCTTTGTGGGAGAGCCTCCAACCTCCCTAGATAATTGACTCCCTTGGCATACGGCTCATATAGTCAGGATATTTTCCATATATTTAGCTAGAATCTGCCACTGAAGTCCATTATTCCATTTCCTGCACTCTGGGATAATTGAGGTGATCCTTGTGCTCTGCTGTGTGACAGCTTTTCAGGTATTTGAAAAGTGCTATCATATCTCCCCTCAGTTTTCTTTTCTCAAGGCTAAATGTGCCCTGCTCTTTCAGTTGTTCTGAACTTTTTCTAGTTTGTTTATATAGTTATGAATATCTGTGATACTAAAATTGTATTTATTAATCTCTTCAAATTCTTCCAGATTTAATCTGACCTGATCCATAGCTTCTAATGGGTCCCCAAGCATCATCAGCAAATAGGCTAATCTTTATTTCATTCCCCAAACCTATTCCTTTTATTATGTTATCATTCCTAATACTGTTGGCTAGTAATTCTATGACTAAGCCAACAGTATTGGGGAAAGGGAACATCCTTGTCTAGTACCTCAGCCTAGGAACATTTGCTCCATTATACCATTGTTTACTATCACATTTGCTATATTGCCAGAATATAATTGCTCTATTGCACCTTTAAATCATTTTCAAAATCTTAATATTCCTATTAATATCTTTATTGTTGGCCATTCCACACAATCAAAAGTTTCAAGGAATCTAAAGATATTATGCAAGCTTTAAATTCCCCTTTATGTATAACCTCTAATATATTCAAAACTCTTCTAGTCAAGTTGTGCCTTTCTTCCTCTTTAATAGAATTTGGCTTATTCCTTGTTTTATTCATTAATGTGTTAAAATCTCCACCCAATATTAACGTATCCTTTCTTTATTATTTTCAATTCATTAAAAACCATTTTAAAGGAAAAAAAAGTGGTTTTCTTTTGGTGCAAAGATATTAACTAGTGTGTAATCATCTCTTATTTCACCTATAAAATCAAGTATCTTCCACTTTCATCTGTATTTCATTCTTCTTAAACGCATGTTCCTGTTCCTCAATCTTCTCATCCTGTCTTATGGGGTGTGGTTGGTTGGTAATTTGGCTGCTATACTCCCTTTACTCCACATTGCTGACTTGCCCTCTGCCCTTCCAGTCTAAATGGCCACCTGCTTCTACTAATCTTACGTCTTCCAGAAGAACCAAAACCAACCAGGTGAATTATCCTCATTTCCTCCCTTTCTGTCCCCTCCCCTCCCCTCCCCTCCCCTTCTTGTCTTTTCGTGTATATGTACCTGACCCACATGGTTTTGATTCAATTCCATACATAATTACCTTAAGAAGAATTTAGGTAACAGTTGGGTTGCCAATTTTTATTACTTTTTGCTTTCCATTAACAATCCATGGCTGTCCATCCCTTAGCATGGCACCCAAACCGAGACACTCTAGGTTGTTTAGGGGTTTAAGCAACCCAGAATTAAATCGATAACCAACCATGAATTTAAGGCATGTGGCAGAGGCAAAACACTTGCTACTGCTCCCACTGGGTCATTTGTAGGTTAAGTAACCCACACTGATGTTATGTGCAAAGTGAGCCATTGAATTAACAAATTATTATTTATTTGTTTAGGACATATAGAGAAAGTGGAAGATTCAGATACCTTATCTTTTGCCTATCAGGCATAGAAAGTAGAAAAAGAAAAAAGATGGTAACCCCAACTCAAGGAGCACTTCTCCTTTGCGCATCTTCTGCAAGACACATCTTCTGCAAGACGCATTCTCAGCGTTTTCTACAGGCACTTGTCCAAAAAAGGGGGTTTTGGGTTTTCCCAAAAAAGTAGACTTGGAAACATTTCCAATGTTCTAAATAATGTTATCTGACTTAACATGTTTGACTCATTTTTACTCCCAAAAGTCATTCCTTCTATAAGTAGGCAGAATATCTCATATTCAGTAAGCAAAACTAAAAACCGAATCCAGGTCAATTTTATGCATAAGGTAAAATATCAAAAATTTTCCCAATAGTGGCAAAATATTAGATCTAAAATACTTGCTTAGGGAGGAATTAAATTAACCATACAAAGTAATTTGAATGTTCTAGTCAAAAAAGTTGACATTTTATGTGGAAATTATTTTAATGAAATATTTGTAAAAATGTAAAGACAATACTGTATTCCCTTATCTTTGTTTAAATTTAACAGAAATGAAAGAAAGCACTATTAAAGGATAATTCCCAAAGAGAGTTGATCAACAGTTTAATTTTCTTTTGCTAAGCTATCTGTAGAGCCTTCAGCTTTGCTCACTCTCAGCACTGCTTATCAGTTCCATTTAAAGATGAGACGAGCTGAACAGTCTGTTTCACTAAAGGAAGGGTACAGACTGGGGAACCTGGGTAGGACACTGCTGTTACACTCAAATATTGTTTGTGGGTTCCCAAAGACAACTGGACACTGCGTGAACAGAATGCTGGACGAGATGGACCCTTGGTCTGATCCAGCAGGGCTCTTCCTATGTTCTTAAGCAAAACAACTGGTGATCACAGTCTTTGTTTCAATTTCAGTTTCCTTTATGTTTGTTATTGAATGCTAGCAAAATAGGACAGTTACACCATGTAAAAGTCTGGAACAGACCCAGCCTGGAGCCAAATGTATTTTGCAAGAATAAGGAAAGGGTTGCCATACCTTTCAGTTCCTCCATTGGCACCTGAGCACTAGTGTCCATCAATTATTATTATTATTGCATGGCATTTATACCCTGCCTTTCTTCCTTTTACAAAGAACCCAAGACAACTTACAAGATATTCCAGCTCTCTATTTTATCCAGCCCTGTGAGGAAGAACCTGGATCTTCCAAGTTCCAGTCCAACCCTCTCACCATTGTAACCACCACACCTCACTTCGAGGAACAACTTGCAGAAGTTCATGACCTATATTCAGCCCATCTGACATAACTGATGATAGTAAAACAGTCCAGACAATGATGGAAAAATGCAGACATGTATGGTGTGGCATTTTTTCCATGGAAAAAATAACACTGGACATTTTTCAATGGAATATTTCTGCCCTGCTTCACTGCCACTCAGCAGTATTATTTACTAATTTTATTATGAGTAATTGTATTTCAATAAAGCTCTCTGGCAAGTCCCAAAATTTTTTGAATATTGCTGAAGTCAATGTGCTATTTAAAAGGCTGCAATGAAATTTCTGTGTCCATTTCCTTGCTTCTACACATGCCCAGAAAGAAAACATATTTTGACTATATGTAGTTTTGTCTGTCTCTGTGAAGTTATGCAAATTATAGACTTCTCATTAGTTTGTACTTCTTTCCTAAATTCTTTCTAAAAAGCCTTGCAAAAAGAAATGGAAACATAAGCAAAACAATAGAGCTGCTTATTGTGGGCAGTGTGGTTTCTTAATCTTTACTAGATAGTGGGTATTTTCTTACATGTTTACCTGAATGTCATGGGCTACAAGTCCATTAAATGTGAAGCCTAGATAAAATTTTACATTTTCATTTCCAGGTGGCACTGAATCAAAATGCAAGGGTAAAATTGGAATCTTTTCAGAGTGACCTGATGCAAAAATTTTGCCACCTTCTGCCCATCCATTAACTCTTTCTAGCAGATTATGTACTTCACCTATCTTCCACACTTCCCCATTTTGCCATGCGCTTCGCCGTTCATTCAGAGAGCCCTTCAGGAACTCATCAATCTTTGCCCTGGGCACAATCTTCCTTAGACCATAGCCTTTCCCCAAGAAAAATATTGTGTAGATTCTTTTCTTCCGTGGAGGAACATCTTTTATTTTAGTGTCATGTAAGTGTTTCAATTTAGCAAGGGCTGATGTTAAGATATCATTTTTCCTGGAGTTAGCATCTTTGTCCAAAGCCGCATCAGGCCAATAAAGTAAAGTAAGCAAAAAGTAAGTGCTTGCAGGAAGTGAAGTTTTTCGCTTTTTAACAAATCCCTTGCTGCATTCTCGGAGTGCCGGAAGGTCCAGGAGCTTGGGTGAGCCAGGGGACAGACATGCTAAGGTAAAGTGACACAGTATATAATTGGTAAGGTCTATCTCTTCCCAACTCTCTTTCTGTGGGTCTTCTGAGTAGCAGCTTATTATTTTTTCAAGAGTTTGAACTGATTTCTTATCATTCTTATCTGATAGGAATGACAAAATGGTGGTGACATTCCCCCCTCCATATTTATAAATATTCATTTGCTTGATTAAATGAAGATTTTTGAATTTTACATCTTTTTCTTCAGTAAGTATCTCTGAACAGAAGTATGTTGCGAACTCATTACATTGTCTTTTGAGCCATCTCCTGGGATTATTCACTTGTTCTTCTCTTCTCCTTTGCCTTTTCTTTTTTTCACTTTTCTTCTCTTCTTCTCGCTCATTTTCATCATCGCTTTGGCTTTTCTCTGTTTGGAAATAACTTAGATCTTCTGAAATCCAGTCCAGAGCATTGTAAATATTCTGATGTAAACCTTTTAAGCGACTATGAAGGTTCGCCCATGGCTTTCTGATATCTTCTGGAATATAATCTGTAAGTAAATACAGGGAAAGTTCAGGATGCTCTCCTTTTGCATTTTTGGAAAATACATGAAGTGTAGATAATAGTTTTAGTAACTGACATCCAACATCTACTTCTCCAAAATAACCAGAGTTATTCATGCTTTCTTTCTCAGACCTTGCGGCTTGTTGTGCAGCTTTGAAGCACTTGATAGCTTTAAGAGCAAGTTCTATAATTGGAATGATGACTTCAGGAGTGTCTTCATCTGATTTTTTCTTTACTCTAGAGCAAAACCATTTCTTATATACTTGTCCTTCTGTGTCCAAGATGAAAGAATCGTTTGGCAAGCGAGATTTAGCTTTTTCTGCCCAGTGCTGGGCTTCTTCAAAATTCTCATGACCTTCTACACATTGTATTCTGGCAAGTAGTTGGGCAAGGAAAGCATTTTTTTCTAGGTAGTAATAAGCACATTTTAAAACTTCTATGGCTTTTCCTGAACTTTCAGTCTCCAAGATATGCTCAATGAATGGAGAGAAAAGGCTATCAGTGTCATCCCCTCTACTCCTTTTATCACGTCTTATAAACAGGTTTCTGATGAACTTTAGAAACTCTTCCTGCCCAAACCTATGCTGTAGCAATACCTGTTCCTTGAGCAATTCCATGGCAATTTCACTCTGGGGCTGACCTCTTGAGAGCTGATTCAGTATTTCCCCCGCAACCAGATAGTGTATTATTTGAATGGATGAAATATAAGAGGTAGTTTCTCTCAGCTCAGTGAAAATAAGTCGTGCCTGTTCACTTAAGTGACTTATGAAACCATATTGTCTCTTTTTATCATCTCCATATATCTTAAGTCCTAAGAAAGCCTCACAGTGGGATAAAGATATGTATGAATCATGCACATAGAAATTGAGTAAGGCGACATACCTCATCAAAGTGGTTTCACGGGAAAATGAGTCTATGTCTTTGAGGAAATGCTCCACAAATTCTTTCACATATTTTCTTTCAAATTCTTTGCTCATGAGGACAAATGTAAGGATATATTCAAATTTAAAATCCTTCTGATTTTCATATTTTTCTAGCTTTGTTCTAAACATGCTTTTCTCATCATCTGTCAGTTTGTGAATGACAGCAACTGTATTCTGAGGGGAAGTCCTGCAAAGCTTTTCAGGGAAATTGGAGCGTTTACAGCAAAGGAGGATGAAAGAAGGTCTGTGAGGATGGCGTTTCTTAGGTACCATGGCACCAGTTAAAGAAGAGCTTAGTTCATCAAGGTATTCTTCATCATAATCTTCCACCAGAAGAAGGACAGGGAGCGAAACTCTGAGATCTTTTTCATCATAATGTCGGAATTCAACTGCATGTTGACACACAATAGCAACTGGGTATGTTGTTCTGATGACAGCACATCGAAAATCCTTCCTTTGTTTCCACAGCACTTGCCTTGCGACAGTACTTCCTCCACTCCCTGGCTGGTGGAACACTTTCACTTTAGCCACAGGATACCTGAATCCATTGCCCTGCACACAGTCATTCAGCATTCCAGAAACTTTTTTACAAGCTTCCCGTTCAATAAGCTCCCCACACTTCTTTTTATCAGCAAGCCAGAAATTTTTCCAGCTGACTTTTTTACCTCGATGGAAAGCTTCATCGATCTCCCGTATTTCTCTTTGATTCAGAGAAATGTCTTTCATTTCATCACACTGATCAGCAAACAATATTTCAAGAGAAGACATTTTCTCTTCCTTTAGTGTAGGAAGCATGCAGAGCCCCTTTGTGGAAACTGGTAGGTGTTTGCAGTTTGTTGTAGAGGGCAGCATCTTTCGGATTGTGGCATCCACGTGACTTAGCTTCATGCCTACAATGCTGATCTGCTCTAGGGTCTCAAAGCTACAGGAAGCTTGAGCCAGGTTAGCCCACTTCTCATAGTTTTCTCGGGATTCAGCAAGGCATATTATGAACTGTGTGCCATTTAATTCACTGTAGAATTCATGAAAAGTGTCTACAATTGGTTTCTCCACAGGCGACAGCAGTAGGAAAAGTACCAGAAAAGAACCCCTTGGGAGGACCTCGTCACAGATATAAGATACAGTTTTCTTTAGATACTTCTTTTTCGTTCTAATCCAAGTGTTTTCATCACAAATGTTTTTATCCCCCTGGAAGTCGCTGCGTCCGTTGCAAAATATCCAGAACCTTTCATTTCCAGTTTCTGTTTTGCGTTCAGAATACTCTTTTAAGAAGTAACAGTTGATTGCATGGTGTTCTCTATACTTGGAGCACAAACCAGACACACAGGAGTCCTCATCAAAATCAAATACACAGAAAATGTTCAAGTCCTTCAAAAAGTCAATAGAATCGAGGTCTTCCTCTCTACATTTATTTGTAACAAGTATATACCACAGAGAGTTATCTATATAGTTTCTGTCAGCTGCCAATAGGACAGATAGTTTTCGCCCTAAATTTTGAGGTTCATCTATTTGATTTTCATGGTTAGATGATTCCTGCTTTTCTCTCCAAGCATCTCTCTCTCCTAAATTCTGAATGAATGCCACTAGATTTTCATTCTTTACTGGTTCAGATTTTGAACCAACCCTTTGAAAGGCAACTTTATCCTTGTCTAAGTTTACCTTATTACTTTTTTCATTAAAATGTGGTAGACGTACTTGAAACAACTTCCCTTTTACAGTGTTGGATGATGCTTCAATGTCAATTTCGACTACAAAGTATTGCTCATGCGAATCTTTCTGAATAAGTTCAATGAAAACAGGAGGGTGGATACAAAGTCTTGCAGCTCCTTGGTGATCACGGTCAAAGCATTTTTCTATGTAATCTAAAGCATCCACATACCAGTCCCTTTCTCTTATTGGTATCCCTACTATTTGTCCATGTTTCCGGCCCTTTTTTTCAACACTGTCCATGATTCCAAAGTGAATAGTGCCATTTGTTCGAACATTCAGACAAGCAGAAGCAAACTTGATCACCTCACAGGCTAGCTTTGCTTGCAATCTTTGCCTGTCCAGTCCTGCAGCTCCCTCAAAAGATTTATATTCATGGCAGGGGCTAATTAAATTGATAACACCTGTTTCTGGGGAGAGGACTGCATTTCTAACATACTTAAAATTGATGCTGTCACTTTTGAACGGCCTGAATGGGCTCAGGCGTACTTGGTCACCCAAAATAACAGTATTAGGTGCACTGTCTGTTTCATCAAATGTAGAAGTTGTATGTATTCTGTCTGTTTCATTGGAACCTTGGACTTTTGAAGTGCCATGTGGTAAGGCAATTGGTTGAACAGCAGACTGCTTCTGTTTGGTTTCCTCTAGCATAGTCCTTTTCACTTGGGTTGGTGAGTCCAACTCTCCGAGTTTTGGGCTTCCCTTCTCTGAATTGGTGTTGTTAGTGTCTGAAACACTTGCGGCCTTAACTTCATTAACAGCTTTGGTGTCATTAACTGCTTCGGTGAAATGAATCCCAATATTCTGCTGCAAGAGTTTATTTCTTTTGTGCATTAGTATATGGATTTGGCCTTGTTTCATGCCCATTCCCTTGAGGAATGGCTCATCTAATACCTCAAGTGTTGAACCAGTGACTTCCTCTTCACAGAGCTTTTCCACATACTCTTTCTTAATTCCAATGGAATCCAGCCAGCACTTAACATGGCCCTCATTCCATTCATTCAGACGTAACTCCTTGTAATCTGAAAATAAAATTAGTATGTTTTAGTATGGTGTTGAAATGTCATCCAGTCATTCCTGAAATCCTGTGTATCTAGCTAAATTTCACTGTTAAAAATGGATAGCTTAGTAGCTACAGTTCATCAGGATCTGCACAGTGATGCAGCTCCTCCCCCTCTACCCACATGACCTGATAGAGAAGGCTACCAAGTTTACCTTGGAAATACTTGCAGGATTGGATCCAGACCTGTAGGTGCTTGCAGGATTAGGGCCAGTCCAATCATGTAGACTGGCTGGGAGCCACAGGTGCCCTATAAAAGGCTTCCCAGTCCTGCTCAGCTTTGTCACAGCAATGTGAGTCTTTGTGATGGCTCCTTCACATTCCTGATTCAGCTTCTGCCTCCAGTTTTGTAATATCTTTGCTCATGCCTTGACTCTACCCTTTTCCTGACTCTGCCTTTGCCTCTGGTCTTGCCATGCCTGAGTCTTGCTTGTTCTTGATCTTGCTGCAAAGGGGGTATAAATTCCAGAACACCCTTTTGCATGTGCAAGGATCCCTCGTGCCTTTGGCTTCTCCTGTCTTTGGACAGTTGTTAAAGGAAACCAAAGTAGAGGGTGGGAACAATGTTCAACCTCCTCTAAGGAATCTCTGGGACTGGCACTTGCTGGGCCTTGAAATGGGCACTTCCCTGCAGTTGCACAAGTGCAGCTAAAAATGCACAAGTACATGTCGTTCTATTCTTGAAGTCATGCTGGTGCTGTGATTCGACTGAGTTTAAAATATGAAGCCGCATGTGTTCACAACAATCCTCTTAAGAAGTGTTTGCCAGCTATGATTTTGGCAATTCTTCGCTTGATATCACCGTAAACCATGAAAGGGCAGTTGTAGGGTAGGGATGGGAGTAAGCACACAATTACTAGTTGTGTGCTTCACAGCTGAAAGGACATAATATTGCCATCTAAATACATCAGATCATTACGTCTGGAGTCTATAGCAAGCAAGCAGCCTTTTTGGGCTGTGCCCACATCTGCTTGATTGATCAACAGTCCCGGGCACCACCACCATGGCAAAGTTCAAGTAAACTGCCAAAAAGGTTGGCTAAAGGGCAGAAGTGAGATCTGGACTTCAGCACACCAAACAACTCCTCTGAACCAGCAGAAATCTATTTTGCTACTGCCGGTAAGAAAATGCATTCACTGGAAGAATCCCACCAGGTGAGGTGAGGTGGAATATAAGAAAAGTGTGTGGGGTGCATTGATGCCCACAGTGAGATACCACTTTGCCTACTGCTGGTCTAAAGTTACTGAACCGCACGACTGGACTTGGGTCACATTATTTTGGGCAGTGCCCCATTCTCCCTCATAATGGAAGGCTTCTAAGAAACTTGAAGGGTGGCAGGGGTGGGATTTACTTGAACTCCAGCAGTGGGAACTACTAAATGTTCTACTAAATGTTGAAGTCATCCCGGGCAACCAGGAAATCACAGGATATTTTAAAAAGTGGAGAACTAATTTGCCTCAGCACTAAAAACACAATTACATTAAATTTGTGCCTAGCAGCTAGCCCCTTTTTATTTTTCCCCACTTTTAAGTAGGTACAGGGGTTCTGATCCAGGTTGGATATGGGGAGGCAGCTTAGAACCCTCTAAACCCTATGCCAAGGCCCAAAAGGTCTAAGCTGGGTCCCCTACAACTACCCCATAGTAAAAAGGGCTTAAAAGACAGGGCCACTGGATACAGATGATATCAGTTTTGGCTCTCAGCCAGCTGATGTGGATGTTCTGAGAGTGCAGCAGCTTGTTAAATACATGTTAGAAACGCAGTTATTTAATTTATAGTTGCTTTATTTTTACTGTGAGGTAAGGGCAGTTTATTGACTTCAAATGTCAAAAATCCCCATTCAGCCATGGAACTCACCTGGGCTAGTCACTATTCTCTTAGCCTAACTACCACACAAACTTGCCTTAAGAATAAAATAGGGAATAGGGATGGCATCAGGAAGAACCAGGTACAGTAGCTGAGTTTCTTGGAGAGCGGATGGGAGGAAAATGTACTAAATAATACATACCCATGTTGTCGTTGTGGCTGATTTCTACTTGTGCTGATAAGGAAAGCTAAAAAGGAAAATAAACATGTGTGATAAATGTTTGCAGTGTCTTCTGCTTGCCTTTAGGATATGCTAGATACTTTTCTTTAAAAATGTGTTGCTTGCACTACACTGAACAAAGATTTTATAATCGTGCCAGTGCACAGACTAAGTGTTCAGCCTATCCCGGTATACCATTGCTTTTTGAATTATATAGCAACAGTAACTTCAGCTTGGATTCTGTAAGCCCAGGTGGACATCCTGCCTGCCCTTCCTCCAAAGGCTCATTTGGATGTAGGAAGGAGCAAGAGAACTGCATGTGTGCCATGCGAGTGCTGTGCTAAAGCACTGGCTTCCCACAGGAGGAAACATTTCTGCCATTGGTTTTGTCTGTTCAGAGAAAAGTGTCCCATTCTCAGAATAAACAGCTGGAATGCTTTGAACTACACTTTGTGCCCCGCTTTTGAGGCAGAGAGTCTTGGGAGCGCAAGGGATGGTGGGCTGGGGCAAGCATTCTCAGGGGACCCCAGCCATGCCACAGATGTTGATTCAGATTCTTGGGAAGATGAGGGATGTATCAGTGATCTTGGGGAGTCTGTGTCAGCACAAGGTCCTGGGCTACAAGAGGAGCAGGAGGAGGGAAAGATTGTCTCAAGGCTGGCACTTCACCACACTGGACCGTTTCTGGGAATGGTTTGGGTGCACAACCTCAGGAAGGAGTCGCTCAGAATAAGGAACTCTCACATGTAGATAAGGCACTGAGCTGGACCCCATGCCAAGATGCCAGCAGAGGCGAGAGGCTCCATTGGAGGAGCAGAGAGCTGGGGGGAGGCATACTTGTCTGCAGCAAATCCCTCCTAAGGGGCTAAGACCCAAATATGTTCATATAGAGAGTTTCAGGAAGTAATCACTAAGCTGAGGTCAACAAACTACTTTGTGCATGCTCAGAGATCCGTTCAGGGAGATTTGTATGCAGAAGCAATGAAGAGCGTTTTACAAGGAAAGGGCCGATGGCTATTGTTTGGTTGAAGGAGGAGACTTGGCTTGTGAGAGATGTACAAAGACATAGTGCCTTGCGTAAGTGTTGCAAACTGAAACCTTCTAGATCTGGTGTAGAAGAAGCTATGAAATATTGTGAGATACATTGGCCCTAATTTGGAGAGATGGGCATATGTTCTTCTTACACGGTTTTCTAGTAAGGGTGTTTTGAGCTAGTGTGTGCCATATTTTCTGTATAAGTGATACAGAATCAGAACATCTTTTTAAGATACACTTCTTAGTTTCCCTTTTGAGGGAGCATATACTGCTTCCACTGTGAACAAAACTTACACCATGCAAGCTGAATTTTAGAGTCCTTTAAATCCATAGATTGCACTTGTGATTTCATTTCCAGTGGGGTCTAGCAAGTTCAGTGGTAGCACAACATTGGTTTAAAAAGCAGTGGGTTGTTGGGAATGACTCTACTGCCTTAGCATAGAACCCACAATTGGCTCCTTTGTAGGTTGTACAGTGTAATGTTTGAATCTGAACTACTGAGTTGTAAAGGGCCCAACTACACAGTGGTTAACTCATGATATGTTGTTGGGTTAACTGCTTGGTTCTTTAGCCCTTAAACTACTCGCAATCTAGATTCAGACATCACACAGTAAAACCTATGAAGGAGGCAATAATGGGTTGTTTTGTAAAGTAGAAGAGACAGGTGTGACACCAGAAGTGTCCCCAACAAGGTGTGAGCCAAGTCTATGTTTATTTTACCAAATCTCCAGCCCTTATTGAGAGATGAATCAGGTCTCCATAGCAGGTTAACAGTCTAGCTAGGAACAGATGCACAGAGGCTTCACTCTTCTTCAGGTTGGTTATTTTCTGCCCCCTTATGCATGCAAACACAGTTCTTAAATACTCATTGATCTCCAAGATGACTAATAGGTTGTCCTGTGATCATTCACACGACCCATCGATGTTTCTCACAGAGCACAGTGGCTGTGGATGTCAGATAACAGCCCATTGTTCTTGAGAGTTCTTTGCCTATTCAGTAATTCTGTCAAAGACGGAATTTAACCTTAGCTTGTAGCATGCTTATCTGTCTCTTGCTGGGGTCTCACCTTAACTTCCTGATTCAACTATATCCTCTGTTTCATAAAACCTCATTTTATTTATTTATTTAGAAAATTTCTATGCCGCCCCATTTGCCAAAGCCTCGAGGCGGCTTATAAATAAATCAATTAAAATACAATAAATTAACAATATAAAACAAGTTAACAATATAAAATAAGTCGCCCTGACCAAAAGATAAAATAAATAAATACTATTAATAGTTAAAATGACGCTTGAATAAAAAGGTCTTCACCTGGCGCCGAAAAACAAATAACGACGGCACCAGGTGGACCTCTCTGGGGAGCGCATTCCATAACTTAGGCGCCACCGCAGAGAAAGCACTCTTCCGAGTACTTACCCTCCTAATTTTCTTCATGGAGGGTTCCCGGAGAAGGGCCTCTCCCGCTGATTTCAGGGGGCGGGCGGGCATATATGGACATAAGCGCTCCTTCAGGTAACCAGGACCCAAGCCGTTTAGGGCTTTATAGGTCATCACCAACACCTTAAATTGGGCCCGGACTTCAATGGGAAGCCAGTGAAGCTGACAGAGGACTGGAGTCATGTGAACATAACACCCAGTCCCCGTCAGCAGCCTGGCAGCTCTATTTTGAACCAATTGAAGTATCCGGACTGTCTTCAAGGGTAGCCCCACGTAGAGCGCGTTACAGAAGTCAAGGCGGGAAGTCACCAACGCGTGTGTCACTGTCGCCAGGCAGTCGTACTCCAGGTAGGAGCGCAGCTGATGGATCAGCCAAAGCTGAAGGAAAGCGCTCCTCGCCACCACTGTCACCTGAGCTTCCAGTGAAAGCTCTGGGTCGAGGAGCACTCCCAAGCTGCGGACCTTGTCCCTAAGAGGGAGTGCAACCCCATTCAGGACTAGGTTCAATTCACCCTCACCAAAGCCTGATCTGCCAACCAACAGGACCTCCGTCTTGTCTGGATTGAGCTTCAGTTTATTGGCCCTCATCCAGCCCATTACCTCGGCCAGGCACCGGTTCAGCACAGCCACTGCCTCACCTGGATTGGTGGAAAATGAGAGGTAGAGCTGGGTATCATCAGCATACTGATGATTCCGCAGCCCACACCTCCTGATGACCTCTCCCAGCGGTTTCATGTAGATGTTAAACAGCAAAGGGGACAAAATGGACCCCTGCGGTACTCCATGGCATAGCTGCCATGGCGCAGAGCCATAGTCCCCCAGCACCACCTTCTGGAAATGGTCATTGAGATAGGAGCGGGACCACTGCAAAGCAGTGCCTCCGACCCCCAATCCCGCTAGCCTATCCAGAAGGATACCATGGTCGATGGTATCGAAAGCCGCTGAGAGGTCCAGAAGAACCAACAGGGACGCACTCCCCCTGTCCTTCTCCCTGGACAGGTCATCGTACAGGGCGACCAAGGCAGATTCAGTACCGTACCCGGGTCTGAAGCCGGACTGAAATGGGTCCAGATAATTAGTTTCATCCAAGAGAGCTTGGAGTTGTCCCGCCACCACCCGCTCCAACACCTTGCCCAGAAACGGGATGTTGGCCACTGGTCTATAATTAGTGGCCATCTCTGGATCCGGTGACGCTTTCTTCAGGACCGGTCGGACTACCGCCTCCTTTAAAGGGGCAGGTACCCGACCCTCCCTCAGAGAAGCATTAACCACTTCCAAGATCCAGATCCCAATCCCGTGCTTGGCGTTGTTTATTAACCAAGACAGGCAAGGGTCCAATAGGCAAATGGTGGGATGTACTCATAAGGCTATTCTGCTGCAAAACAAACATAATTATAAATCAGTTTCATTTTTAAATGTTAGCACTTCTGAGGAAAGTTGCAAACAGAGAGAGAGAGAGAGAGAGAGAGAGAGAGAGAGAGAGAGAGAGAGAGAGGATCTGACTGCATACTTTACCTTGCAATTCCAGTGTCTTGGCTCATGCTCTGGAAGTGGTTGAAGTCAGAAGTATAGTCCTCTGTATCCCCTTTCTGACCATAGGAATATATGAGCCTAGAAATAGAGTAATGCTGGTTAGAACTGGCATAACCCCATTTGAATAGGTTTGTTGATACAACTGAACAAAACCAGTTGGCAACTTCTGAGCACCAAAAAAGTGCAGGGCCCTGGACTCCTCTTTCATTACTATCTGTAAGCAAGAATCTTCCATCACATTTCTGCATTGTTTTAATCTGTAAAGAGGGAGCCCACAACAGTTGAGGTCACCCCCTGAATTGAGGATAGTTATCAGCAGTGGAGCAAAGAGACCCAATTTCAACATCATATGAACTTTTACTTCGGGAGATGATGCAGGGCAAAATTAACAAGAATAGGTGAGATGAAGGACTGAACCACTTCAGTTCTATCGTTCACTGGAGGATTAAAGGCTGAGGTGGGAAACTTGTGGCCTTTCAGATGTTGCACTGCAGTTCCCCATTTTTAAGCCAGAATAGTCAATGGTGAGAGAGGATGGGTTAATGACCAGTCAAATTTTCAACAAAGGATTAAAGAGCCTATTACTGGCAGTCAAACTCTGTATGGCTCAGAACCGGCTCTATTAGTACTCAAGTCGGATCCAAAATATTTGGAAAATGGTCACATACCAATAACAATTTTACAGTTGTGATTTGGGATCCACATTCTATTATTGTTAAAACGCTTTCTTGATTGTTTCACTCTCCAGAATGGTTATCATTCACTTAGTGTTTACCTGGGAGCTAGGCAACAGTGCCACCATCCATGAACAGAAATTGGACGGGGTTAAAACACACCTTTATTTGTAAATAGAAAGACCTCGGCAGTTATAGGTGGCCTAACAACAGATGTATAAATATAAATAAATAAATGCATATACAGCTGGAGATTCTCATTGAGGTTGCAGAAGAAAGGTAAAGAATAAACTTTACCTTCACCAAAATTGCTCATCCCGTCATGTCTATGCTTGTAGCTCCAGCACTTTCCCGTAGACAATGTTACTGCCCAAAGCTGGTGCCTGAGCTGGCTGATGAAGAGCTCATGCTACATAAGCAGTGCCTTCATTTTATGCAAGCTCTGCCTGGAAGATAATTAAACCCACAACTGCCTCCCGTGACAGGTGCCCTTCCTGTGCAGGTCTGGATCACTGCCATTCTTCCCTTTGTCCTAGGCTCCAATATGGGGGCTGTGAAAGGAAGGTGGTCGCATAGCTTTCCCCAGAGTCTGCTAAAAGTGAAAGACCATAAACACACAATCTTCCTCCTCGGCCTTCAGGCCACGGAGGGGCAATGACTGCTGCTTTTGCAGAGCACTTTCTTCATGCCATCCGTTTGCAGATGGAGGAGGAGGGCAGCCTGGTCAAAAGGGAGACAGAATTTGTGCCCCGATTCCTGATAGGCAGAGGGGCTGGTATCACTGCCTCTGTTCAGCTGCCTTGCTTTTAGAGACAGGAGAACTGCAGCTATCCAGGGCAGATGAAAGCAGCTGCTGCCATGTATCCCTTCTGCAAAGCGGTGAGCTCGCACCTTCCCACTCCTCTGCCCAAAGAAGCACTCCTGGGCCCATTCCCACACCCACACTTGTGCAGCCTCCTTCTAGGCCCTTTTGCTCAGGAGGAGGTTTCATGTCTAGTTTTCTTCTGGGGTTCTTCTATTGTTCTGCAATCCCTTGACATGTACTGGCAAAGTTCCACAATTTCGGAAAGTTTCGTTTCCTGCTACCAGGCTGCTCAAGGTTTGACCAGAGAATGACTCATATTGAGAGTACATGACTTACATTTACATACATACATACATACATATAAATATTCATATTCAAGACTGAATTGATATAATACCATTTCAACAAGAACAGTGTGTAATAAATAAGGTGCCTGATATTAATGTTATTACTATTTACATAACAGCCCACATTTACTATCATACCTAATTCCTCAATAGAGAAAATGGCTTTTGTCCACACACGCAAAGTAAGGTGGCTGTAAGGCCAGCCATGTGCCCCAGTTTGAATTCTAGCTGCCCTCTGATTGGGTCATATTTCGGGCTGCCATTCTTTCCCCTTTAATAGAGACCTATGCCCCTGTGTCACAAGCACCCCATGTTTCTACTTGGAAAAAATTATACTCGTCTCCATGAACTTCTGGGACATAAATGGCTGAAGGCAGGAAGAGGGCATCTCTCAACACTTGCGCGAACAAGGAGTTAATGCTGCTTCCAGCGAGCTCTTACCTCGAGTGGCATGTTCAGTCCGCAAAAGGTTCCGCGTTGGCTCCCGAAAGTGCAAATGCGCGAAATGCCGCTCGTGGAAAGGGAACCCCTCGTCTCCTTTTCACATGGGCCGGCTTACTCAGCACGGGCGCTCCCGGGGAAAGCTGCCTCCCCGGTCCCGAGCCGGCGCGGGACCGCCAGCACTTGCCGTTGCCCCGCCTCGCCCCGAGCAGCCCCAAAAGCGCGGGCAGAGGAAGCGAGGGCGTGGCTGCGGCGGCGGGGTGCGCCTGCTGCTTTGCCTTGGCCTGGCCTCCCTTGGCAGCAAGGGAGAAGCGAGGCCGCCGTCCCGCGAGAGGGAAGGTGTCCATGTGTAGAAGGAAGGACGGGGGATGCTGGGTCCGCGCGGCGCCTGGTTCTGTAGGCACATCTGGCGTTCACTTAACGTCCAGCAGCACTTCCTTCTTTCACTTTCATCGGGAGTCCATTGCTATTTTCTGCCACGAACACGGTATCTATTGCTCATCTTACGTTTTGATTAATTATCTTTCATCAAGTTTTACTCATTCTTCCTCTTATCCTACTCCATCTTTTCCTATGACATGTACACACAGGGAGATGTGGTAACTTTTGCCTGGTGCCAAAGCATTCAGTTTCTCAGTCTTCTGTCGTAAGAGTAGCTTCCTGTCCATAACACAGTTTACACATCAGGATAATTAAGTGCCGATGCACCCCCCATTTCGTTCAGGACCACCCTTAGCTTCTCATAATCCACACAGTTACAGACTTTGCAGTAGTCTATGAAGCATAGGCTGATCTTTTTTTAAAAAAAATTAATTGGTGCGCTCCAGTAGCCAACATATATTTGTGCTATGATCTTGAGTACCTCTTCTTTTTCAGAATACAGCTTGAACATTAAGCATCCCTTGCTCCATACAGGGTAATCTTGGGTATATAGGGTAAGATTGAGAGCAGGAGGAAGAGACAGATGTAAATCATTTCAAGTGGACGGAAAAACATCAGGATATAAATAAATAAATAGGATCCCCCGAGCAGGACACGAGTGCAACAGCAGCCTCATGCCCATTGAAGCTTTCCTTGGTTTTCATTGCATGGGAGCGTAAACTGTCATTATGCATAATAACATGGAATCTTTTCTATGAACAGTTAATAAACAGGATTTTTACAATAGGAGAATCCTCTCATCTCCTTCTCAGTAATACAGGCCAGATATCAATAAGGCTCCATTTCCAAGTTTCCTTTCCCCCTTCATCCCCCACTGACTTGCTTATTTTCTGCCCAACAGAAACCTATTTGCATTTTCCTGTCTCTTTTCAGACAGGGAATAAAACCTCTTCTTCAAGAAATGAAGCCATCAGAAGCATCCTCTCTGCTCACTCCTCTGTTCAACACCTTCCTTGGATTGCACCCATTGATAGTCTGAATACAAGGATGTGCTCGCTCTCGCTTTCGCTCTCTCCCTCTCTCTCTCAACGCCCCCTTGTGGATGGCAGGAGATGCAGACTCATGTATCTTTTGTGACTTGCCGCACAGTAATATGAGCTTGTATGCATGATAGATACACGATTTTATGATTTCCTTATGGCGAAGCCTTATTCCTACCCAGCAATGCTAGGTTTTGTTTTATCTTTTGCACATCGATGACGGATGGCTGTCTTCACGGGGCAAACTTAAGCACTCAGCGGTTTGCTGTGCATTTGGGGGCATTTTTCTCATACTACTGCGTATATTTTCATTTAGTTCTGCTTATGCAGATTGTTTTCTAAAAATGGGTAGGGAAAAAAGCCAGTTATCACAATCATGTCATAATCAAAATGTTTTTCACACACCCAGCCCACTTATTGTGCATATTATAATTCCTAAAAATATGTCTATCAGATCTTGGATGAAGCTTGATATTGTTTTACAATATAGAAGAATGTGGGGATGTTTTTTCCCCAAAGTACACTGACAATGCACATACAGATTGCCTCCTCAGCTGACAAACTTCCTGGTGTCCTAACTGTTCTTCATTCAGGCAGGTTGAAGTCCCATGTCAATTTTGGTCAGACAGGCCCTGGATTGCAGAGAAAGAGAGAGCCAGATAGCAGAATGTTGGATCCCATAAAAGATGCTGAAGAGCCAAACAGCAAAAAGAAGCTGTGAGACCGCTTTATTAGGAGAAATATATTTTAGAATGCAAGGACACTGTACAATGGTTTCAAAATCTATTTTTATTCTTTATCAGTGTGAAGTTCTGATTTAGAAGAAATATAAAAGTACTGTACAGTAGAACTACAAAAATATGGAATACAATTTCAATTAACGTAGGTTAAGACTACTGTAACTTTCAAGCTTTATAGTCCTGTGACAGCTGTATTTGAGTATCTTACCTTAATATTTTCTGTTGCGTTATAAAACTAGAAAAATCCACTTCCCTGTAATGAATAGAACAAAAGGAAAAGCAAAAACGACCTACCCATATCAATGCCCAATCATACAATTCATTAGTAATAATTTACTCATTTAAGACACACAAGAGTACAACCACACAGATCAAAGGCTTCCTTATAATTAGAACATTTTATCGAGATTGAATTAAAAATGCACAAGTTGGTTGAAAAGATGCAGTATACCTTTTCCTTGTCCACTTAAAAAAAAGATCACTGCAACAGAGAGGATTTCATTTTTTATTTTTTATTTTATTTTTATCTTTAAAAAGATTTGGCATGCTTTATACCTGTACCATTCAAGATGGTACCATTTTGTATTAAAATTAAATAAATATAAATATATAAAATAAATATTTTGTAAAAGAATACTACAAATAGGATGTTGAAACTTCAGAGTATATCACTAGGAATCCTTAATGCTTCCTTCTGCACATTCCTGTGTGCATGACAGTTTGAGGGACATTGAAAAGGAAAACTGCATCCTTCAAAATGGGAAGCAGGTGCCTCTCGGGAGGCTCCTATGTGGGCGGGAGATGGGTGTTTCTGCTGTTTGTGAGAACCCATTAAGCAATCTCACGTTTTACTCTAGTCTTTGAATGGTAATTTATATCCAGCCTATTTTCTCCTATAAAGTCCTGCGGCCTCTGGCTTAACAGCTTGCAGTAGAGCTGAACCATTGCACATCCTAAACCCCGCCAGGTGCGTACCAGCCAGGGCAAAAGAGGGGTGTGGGAGTCTCTCACCCATCCCATACACACCTAGCAAGTGTCTGTCTCTTTTTTAAAACTCCCATTGTTCTCAATGAGAGGGAAGATTAACGTAAGTCCAGGGGTCATTTACTTCTTTCCCGTTTCTAGGGACATGTCTGGGGGGAAAGGGGGTTTGGACCCAGTGGCTATAAAGCAGAGGAGAGCAACCCACTTCTGCTCCAGCTTGCAGAGGTTGCCCCTCTGGCCTGTGCAAGGTTCAGCTCCTCTGTGAGTCCATTCCCCTCCCCTCTCCGCTAGCCCTACTCTCCTGCCAAACTTTGCTGGCTGACCTGGAGGCTCCCAGGCTAGAGCCTGTGGAGGGAGCAGGACACCCCCCTCCTCCACTCCATCAGTGGCCAACAGGGCTACAAAGGTGGCATGGCTTTGGCCACTATCGAGGGAGAGCTTCTCTCTCTCTGTGCCCCTCAGCACTGGAGTTCAGGATTGATCCCATAACATTACCAATAAAATTAAGGAGCATTTCTAACAGGATTGACTGTTGTATCTAAATCACATCTACCAACTACTCACATTCTTGAAAAAAAAAAATCAGAAACAGCATCTGAATAGATTTCTGCAACCGTACACGGGGTTTCCAGTATGTGACTAAAGCCACAAATGCTTCCAGAAATATCTGGATTTGCGGGTTTTGTTTTGTTTGCTGTTTTTGGTAATACGCTGTGCAGTTTTGCATATCTGTGAACTGGTAGCATTTGGCCTGATGTTTCCAGTTGGTGATTTCACGAACATCTTTAGGTCTACACTACATCATTTGGAGGCTATGTACTTTCCAGGTAACCCCTGTATTTCTGTTGCCGGATCTGGCATGTTTGAACTACCCCATTCCCTTAAAAAAAGAACTCCACCATTCCCATGCCCCTCTGAAATGCACAGCATGGCAGTGGCCAAAGAGTGGACGGAAACGTCGTGCTGCACTGAGAAGGCTCCTTCCTGAGATTCAGAAGGTGCTTGGCAAAGAAGAAAAACGTTTATGATCCTGGGCAGTAAAGCCTGAATGCCAGTACGAAAAAGAGCACACAGTGCAGGTATTTTTTAGACTGCAGCAATGCTTGTGCCAGGCGGAGCTGTTTTAGACCCCACTACTTCGCTCTTCGGCTCAGGGGTTGCCGTTGGCTCCTCCTTCCTTCTGCAGTGTAAAGCTCTGTGCAAGTTCCCGCCTTGCCTTCCTTGCAGTCCACCGGGGTCGTCTTCCTGAGTCAGGGCAGGCAGAGTCCAAGGCACATCCGATCAGTCTGGATCTTGCAGAGAGGCTGCTTCACTCTCTGGAAATCCCTCTAGTCACCCTGTGAGGGAGAGGCCCGCTGCACAGGCCTGCATGTGCAAAGAAGCCGCCCCCCCCCAGCCTTCAGTCAGCGTCTCCAGGACAAGTCTGTCCATCCGAGTCCTGCATGTAATAAGGCTGGAACAGTCTTTCCTGACCGCAGATCCGCATGGCGTGGTAGGTGTGCAGGAGGAGGTGAGGGAAACGCAGCGTGAAGTAGCGAACAAAGTCATCTGGGACAGAGCCCAGCGTCTCCTGCACCTCGGGGGGCAGTTCTCTATAGTGATGTTTCTGGATGGTGGGGAAAAAGAGAGGAGAGAAGGGATGTTTGCAAGGGATTCACGGTTTCGTGCTGTGCTTCAAGGGAGTTCCCTTGGCTGGATCCGTTTGTCTTCCGCAGGAGGAAAGGCCCTGCCTGAGGGTTGGGGATCCTCCCTCTGCTCCCCATCACAGCTCCCCTTCAGCAGGACCTCCTTGGTCTCTCTAAGCAGCATTTTCAGGAGGCTGAAGGGGCTGCCATGGGATGGAGGGGTGCAGAAGTCCACTTTGAAAGAGCAGTTGATTCAGCTTCAACTGGGACCTCACTCCGCCTTCCCCAGGAAGATCTTTATGCACTGTTTTAATACAGCAGAGTTGTGTGAAATGTGGGAGATCTGTGACTGGATTGCCTGCTAGTTCTCCCTTTAGTGAAAAGCTCTGGAGGCTTTCCAAGTGGAAGAACACTGGGGAAGGGGTTTGGGCTATTTCCAGTCTAGATCATGGGCGGTTCACAGCCATCTATCAGCGCTCACCAAAAATGACAGAGGCCGAGCATCAGGGCGGCAGAATCCAGTTGCCAGTCCCCCACTCTCATCACCCTGCTTTCAAGTGCACCATGATGCTTGATTTTCTAAACACCTGTACCTTATTTCTCATGGCCCGCAGGAGATCTCTTACTGAGCCCCCTTTGTAAGATCGGAATCTTCGAAGATCTACAAAAAAAAAACATGAAAACAGTGGAATTAAAAAAGAGAACAATCCCCGGCGCACAATCCCCCCCCCCCCCCCCCCCCCCGTCTTGGAGTCCAGATTCCTAAAAAGGGCTTGATAAGAGGGATATGATATGTGCATTACACAGGCAAAGAACTGATGGGAGTGATGGGGCATATGAATTACAGAGGGAAATACCAATGTTTCCAGTGAAATCTCTGTGAAGGCGATAAAATAAAGTTTTACCAGTCTGTAAAGGGACGGTGATGTGCTCTCTCCAGTCCATGTTCACCACGGCTCTTCCTCCTTTCTCCAGCTCCTTCACTATTGGGCCATCTAATGACTCTTTTTCTATTCGGTCACTCACATCCTGCAATTGGCACAGCACATGGAGGGCACATCAGCTTTAGTTCCGGGCTCATCTGGTTGCTCCCCCACCAGAAAATCGTGACTTCCCTTTCCCTCAAAGTGCTCCCGATGCCAGTGAAGCTGCAGCAGCAACTCCTGTCGGGTTTTCGGAGCAAGGAACTTAAGTAAGAGGTGCACAGCTCAGGGCCAGCCCCCTGGCAGGCCACCCCCAGTAAAGGCCGGGGATGGCAGGAAAGCTGCAGGCCACAGCCGGAGAGCAGCGCCCAAGTGTCGACTTCTTCACAAGGCAGCAGCAGTGCCACTGCACAACCTTGTGGGGGGCATGATAAGGAAGAGGAGGGGATCCCGAGACTGCCTTTTCTGCACCCACCTTTTGCACATGGCCATGGCAGCCGCACTTGTGCTTGGGCTTTGACTGGTGGAGACCTGTTATCTGCTGGTGGCAGTGGACTCAAGGACACTTCGGATGGAGGAGAAGAAACCTACAGGCGGCCTTGCTCTGTGCCAGGAAGAGGCCAAAGGGCCCCTCCTCTCCAGTGGGAGAAGCAGGCCTGTGTAAGTGGCACTAAAAGGGGGCAGGAGGTGGAGCCTGATTCCCCCACATCGAGCTCAGCAGAGCTCGGATGGCCATGGCAAAGCTGGCGAGTGTGGCTGCCTCAAGGCAGGAGGTGGTCCAGAGGAGAAGGAGAAGCTCTGGGCAGTGAGGAGCTACCCAGCAGCATATGCATTCCTGCAAGGACCAGGACTGTCTCCTTGATGTGTCGCCACTTTTCCCGTATTATTTTCGAGCAAACCTCTTGAAGTAAGCACAAATGTCTTACAGTCTAGGTGAAAATGCAAAAACAAGTCTATTTTTGCCAAGAAAAGGTGGAAATCAGCATCATCTGGCAATTTTGTATCGATCATTCGTTCTGCAGAAATCAAGCAGGGCACTGAAGCCTCATCTGCCACCACTGAATTCAGTCTCTTTCTCCAGCTTTTGTGATTTTAGTAGGCATTGTTCACAAAGTAACTGTAAAGGTTTGAAACTTGCCTTTTTAAAAAATGAAAGCTGGAATTCTTAAGTTGCCAAATTCCACATCAAACAGCAGATTCTGCGCTTTTGAACTCCAAAGAATTGCAGCCCATGAAGAGATCCAATTAGCACATAAGGGGACCATACAATGGATTAAGTAACCCATGACTTTCCATGCCAGGTGTCAATGTCATTTTATATATTCAGCTTCCAAATGGAGGTTGTTTTGTGATGTGTGAAGCCCAACACTATGGCTTATTGGTAGGTTGAACCCATACTGAAGCTACGGGTTAGGGATGTGGGCTCATTTCATCCACAAATAAGCCATGGTATCTGGGCTTGCATGTCATGAAACAACCTACTAGGTTGATTACGCAAAGCAGAAGCATAATTTGCTAAGCACATACCATGACAAACCATGGGTTAATTAACCCAAGGTCTGTTACTGCTCTGTGTGAACAGGCCTATAGAACCTTGCCTATAATATGATGCACTGGGTTGGACTGGAAGTTGAGACACAGAATTTCAGAGCTAGAGGAACACTCAAGATTCCTTCAACAAAGATGAGGCAAGTAGCCAGCTGAAGAGTAACCATTTGGGCAGCTAATCATTTCTTGCTCTGAACATAACTAAAGGTAAAAAAGGTAAAGGTTTCTCCTTGACATTAAGTCCAGTCCTGCCTGATTCTAGGGGGCGGTGCTCATCTCAGTTTCCTAGCCGAGGGAGCCAGTGTTTGTCTGCAGACAGTCTCCGTGGTCATGTGGCCGGCATGACTAAACACCGAAGTGCACGGAACGCTGTTACCTGCCCACCGAAGTGGTACCTTTTTATCTACTTGCATTTGCATGCTTTCGAACTGCAAGGTTGGCAGGAGCTGGGACAGAGCAACGGGAACTCACCCCGTTGTGCAGATTCGAACCGGAGACCTTCGATCAACCAGCCCAGCAGCACAGCGGTTTAAACCACTGTGCCACCTGCAGTCCCCTGAACATAACTAGAACCATGTTAGATACTGTTTCCAGCTATGGTTTAGTATAAGTTTATGTAAAACTGAGGAGCAGAAAGAAGAGAGAAGGAATCATGACTGACCTGGAAAAACTGGAGCTGCTTCTCTAAACTCCAGAAAAATGGATGCTTTAGTACACACTTAGCCGAAGGCCGTTTTTGAGGATCTGTACTGATCATTTGCTCTATTAGGTCTCGTGCAACTATGTACTCTACGGAAGGAGAAGAAGACAACTCTTTATTTAGCGTTTATGCGGTTCTGTGAATCCTTTAGGATACCTTCAAGTAATTTAAGGTCCTGCTGCCTCTGAGCTGGAGCTTCAATGGCTGAGCCTCCACCCAGCTCCACTCACAGCTGATTGATTGATTGATTACATTTCTATGCCACCCCCATCGCAACAAAGCCTTGGGGTGGCTCACAAGAATACGTAAAAACATACATAAATAATAATAACAGAAAGAACTGCGCCAGCTGCCCCCCTGGTGCACCTTGGAGGAGGAAAAGCAGCATGCTGGGAGTTGAGGGGGCAAGAAACTTGGGGCTATCTACATATCCTGACTCCTATTGGTCCCCCCGCCTCTTTCCTCCCCAGCGCTTTATCTGGAGGGCCAAATGTGGCCATTTAAACAAACTGCATGGAGATCGCCACTCACTGCAGCTTAGATGCACGTACGCCTCCAAGTTTGGAGACACATGTGTGTCTGATACAGGGGCACTAACCTGCCACAAATCATCTTCAGTTTGGATTCAGCTTGAGCTTCACATCCTCATGTAGAAAAGCAAATATATCCACCCACTGCCCTGTCTGATCACTCCTGAATGTCATGCTCATAGTTTACACTCTCTTGTTAGACAAAAGATCACTTTCACACAGGCAAAACAAAAACAAGAGAAATTTGATGGCTGGATAACCTACAAATGCACTTGTATCAGGAAACCTGTGTGCTTACCATGTTTCTCTGGGTTTAGGAGGTCCAGACTGTAGGCACCCAGCAAAATGTTGGCTTGCCGCTGCAGGGATTTGCCAAATGGATGATTGCCTTCTGATATTACATAGTAGAAAACACATCCAGCAGAAAAAATGTCCACTGTATGGGTCTATAACAAGAAGCATTTTTTAAAAAAATTACACTATGGCATTCTTAACATGTGGAGCCACATGAAAGATATAAAGCTCCAAGAAGAAGCATGAAAAAATACAGTAACGTTCATCTTTTAAAAAAAAATTCCCCAGTGAAACTCTAAAAATACAGAATGCAGCCAAGGATAATCAGAGGCACAAAGCATATACTGCACAAGCCACATCTGGGCATTTAACCAAAGGTAAGTTACATAACCCACATTTAGAATTTATAGTAAAATATACAACCTAATCTTAGAATCTATCCTAATTTCAAAATGTATTGAACAGTATTTACTGACAATGTCCTTAATGCTTTTCTGGATTTTCCTCCTTTTTGCTATCACTCAAAAATGCTGAAAGCTGAAAGCAAGCCTAGTGGCTGACATGCACTAAGGTGAAAGGAACATCTGATGCTGCACAGTATATAGAATTGGAACATGGAATGTGAGAAGAATGAATCAAGGCCAACTGGAAACAGTAAAGCAAGAAATGGAACAGTTAAACATTGCAGTACTTGGAATGAGTGAACTGAAGTGGATGGGAATGGGGCATTTTTAGTCAGACAAACACAAAGTGTTTTACTCTGGAAAGGACAAACTCAGAAGAAATGGAGTAGCTCTGATACTCCGGCTAGATGTAGCAGAAGCAGGAAGAGGCTATAACCCAATGTCTGACAAGATCATGTCTATCGGAATTTCTGGAATACCTATCAACATAACCGTCATTCATGTCTGCACTCCAACAACACATTCTGCAAAAGAAACTGAAAAAATTTAGGCAGGTGCTCAAGAAGAAATTGACAGCCTGCCCACTCCAAAACAGCAGCAGCAACAAAAAAAACCATGCTGATGATCACAGGTGACTGGAATGGAGAAGTAGGAAACAAAGCAGGATCCAGGGTGGTGGGAGAATGTGGCCTGGGATCAACAATGAAGCAGGAGAATGACGATACAGAGTTCGCACAAATTCAGAGAACAGCCAGATCAGAAGGGACCAGGAAGGTCATCGAGTAATTCTGCGAATCCAACAATCTGCTTATGGCAAATCAGATGGCTTTACAGATCATCAATACAGAAATCAAACAGATTGTGCAATTAGAAGTAAGAGATGGAGAAGCTGTATCCTTGCTGACAAAACAAGGCGAGGAGCAGATGGTGGTATTGACCATGAATTGTTAATATCAAAAATCACAGTAAAGCTGAAAAGATCACTAATGGAAATATAGTGCCAAAACACAACTTAAAGAACATTCCTTAGGGATGTAAACACCACATAAAGAACAGATTTGCATTAATGAACTCCATTGACAAACCAGAAGAACTCTGGACCGAAACCAGAATCTCTATTAAGGAAAAATGCAAAAAGAAAATTCCTGTCACAAAAAGGAAGAAAAGGTCTAGATGGATGACAGGAGAAACATGGTGGGTGAGGGCAGGCGAGAAGCAGAAGCAAAAGGTGTCAGAAACTGGTTCCAAATCCTGAATGTAACTTTTCAGCAGCTCTCATGTACAGACAAAATGAACCATTTCAATGGCCAGTGAAAAGCCATAGAAAGGCTCAGTGAATGATGAACAACAAGAGACCTCTTCCAAAAGATCCAAGAAATCAAATGGAAATTCGAGGCTAGCTCAGGAATGCTGCAGGAATGCCGAAACCCTTATGGGAGGACATGCTGTCTGATCAGGAGAAAATAAAAAGCAGGTGGAAAGAACATAGAGAAGAACTCTACGGAAGAGAGGAAAGGATGGCAGATTGCTTCCAAGGGAATCCCGTGAGGAAGAGCCTGCAATATCAGAAAGAGAAGTGACAGGTGTTCTGAAAATGCTTGCACTGAGGAAAGCATGAAGGGATGAAACTACAGCAAGCAGACTCCCACCTCCAGTTTTTACACCATTTTGTGCAAACCAAAATAAATTTTGTCAATTTATTGTTTGCCCCTCTACATTTTACCACGGAGGACTCTGGGCAGCCCCTTTGCATCCCTTTCTTCATAGTTCACAGTTCAGCCAGGATATCCCGCACTGGGGGATCGTCTGGACTTTGCAAGTTAGATCCTGTTAGAAAGGCCAGAGTTGAGCTGCCTTGTTACGTCAAGACTCTCAAGTCAGTCCAGAGAACGGTGGCAGAAATGGTGGCATGTTCCTGAGGCTCGCTTCAAGGCGCGCCCCAGGTAAAATCCCCGTGGAACAAGCCGTGAGCAGGCCAGCCCCACGAGCAGTGTCTCTGAGGGACACGCAGATGACCTACCGGGTTGTCCTTGCAGTCTTCACTTAGTATCTCCGGGGCAATCCAGCCTTCGGTGCCCGGGACGCCAGACCGACGGCTGAAACTGCGCCTGCCCACTGCAAGCTTCTTGCACAGCCCAAAGTCTGAAATCATGGCTTTGACCTTGCCGTGGGCATTAGGCATAGAGATGAGGATGTTGTGGGGCTTCAGATCTCTGTGGACTAAAAGGGAGGCATCTGAGAGACCCCAGAGAAGTGCAATCATTTTATTCCTTAAAGTATTAACCTTCCTTCAATAGGTTGTCATTACATGACCACAAGCAACAGTCTTTCCCATTTTCTGTTTCCCCACATTGTGTAGAGAATGTTGTTCCCCCAAAGACATCCTCTTCCTTGCCTTCCCTTTGTGAGGCTGACCCCTGCTTTAGGGTTTCTCAGTGCAAGGCACTTGTGTGCTCAAAGCAGTTTGCAGGGCCTTTTCACCTCGTCATCCTCTAGGACCTCTCCTTCCTCTTCTAGCCATTTTTGCATCTTTTTTCAAAACAAGGAAAGCAAGCTCTTTTCCTAGACGCCGCCATTGTAAACTACAGAAGCCTGGCATAATTACACAAGCCTGCTTCATCTCATGGTGTTACCCTGTGTTGTGTTATGGAACATACTGGAAAGTAATAAAAACAGCAGTGGGAGCCTCAGTAAATTGCTGGGCTAAATACCTCCAAGGAAAGGAGCCATTCTTTTGTACTCTGTAAAGCACCACCCCAAAATAAAAAGGGGATGGGGCAAGCAGAGGTCTAAGGTTTTAAAAAGCAAAGAAACCATCTTCATCTTGTCAGCTTTCTGTCTGCTTCTCCTTCAGACATCAGATGTGTGATTGTTTCCAGGATACACACTAGACCAGTCTTCTCCAACCTTGTGCCTTCCAGACGCATTTGGACTGCAACACCCAATATTCCCAGGCAATGGCCCTGCTACATGGGAATTCTGGGAGTTGTGGTCCAGATGCCCCTGAAGGGCCAGGTTGGGAAAGGCTGCACTAGATATTAGTCTGTTTTCAGAAGTCTCCCTCAAATGTTAGATGAAATGAACACATGCTAGAAAGATGCTAGATCATTTTAAAATGTATTTTTGTACCCAAGTCTTATAATTGGGTGACATTATAATTTTATTTCACTTGTATATATTTGGAATTGCCTTTCCTATTGCTTTATGGAGGGGCTATCAGAAAAAACATGATTCCACCCAGCAGAACAGCCAGGACTTTCTGTGATCATCCAGACCTGAAATGGCCAGTGTGGACTGGCAGGCAGGAAATCATGCTTGGAGGAAGGCTGAATTCCAGCTGAACTCTCTGGGTGGCATTGGAAAATACAGAGTAACACAAAGCAGTAGTAAAAATCTCTGCTAACTTTGTACATACAGCAGTAAGGTTTTGGGAGAGCTGTTACCAGACACTAAATTTTCCTTAACCATAGGGTAAAGAGGGAAACATTTCAAAATAGTTGTTTTCATGCAGTCAATGTTATACTCACTAGAGAGCAAGATGTTGAGGCTTGCATAGCTCTAAGCATTTTTAAAAATATCCTTTCTCTGAAATATGCAGCCATCACAGAAATTGGATGTTCAGATAAAACCATTCCTTACCAATATTGAGAGAATGAAGATAAGCAAGGCCAGACATTGTCTGCTGCAAAAGGCTGATTGGCTGCAAAGCGTGGTAGCTTAAGTCCTTCTGTTCCACATACTAGAATGCAGACAAGCAAAACAGGCATTAGGATTAGGCTGCAGGGACAGGCGTGTTTTCTTGGAAGCAAGCTCCCTTGCGTACTGCTGCATTTACTGCTAAGTAAACTGACACAAGAGCAGGCTGTATAGCTCACTGGGCAGGGGTAGGCAACGAGGTGCCCTCCAAATGTTGCCAACTATCCCTCCCATCATCCCTGGCCATTGGCCATCACTGGCCGGAGCTGATGGAAGCTGTTGCCCAAAACTTCTGGACAGCACAAGGTAACCTATTTCCCTTGCAATGCATTCCCCAAGCTCCAGCAATGCTGCCAGTCATGTTACCTGTGTAATGTAATACAATCACAGGCATGGACCAGTCTTAGACTACCACCATTCTATTCTGCCTCAAGGGCAGGGGTGCCAATCTGGCCCTCCAGACGTCCCCAGAAGACCATCCTTCCATTGCATCGTACCAGCTGCCTTCCTCTGATCATGTGCCATCCGGTGGTTTCCTGGCTTGTGTGCAGTTTTTTCCCCATCTAAAGGGAAGTCCCTTTCCCAAGACTGTTACTGGCAGTAAGAGCTTTAAGTGGCCTCCAGTCTTCTGCCTTCAGCAACTGTGTTCCCAGTCAGCTCCTCTGAAAAGAAATTCAGTCCTTGGGCCGAGAGAGGTTCTGCACCCCTGGTTTGGGCTCTGTATGCTGCCTTTGTCTTGTGCTACACTGAAAATGAACATGCAGAATAGAGCAATCTCTGTCCAGAGGCACAGGAAGAGAATCCCACCACAGAATTAAGTGCAAAAGGTGCAACCATGTAGGTTGGAAATACCTGGCTCTCTTCTTTGAATTGAGTCTCCCAGTGTAAGAGCTGTTGCTCCCAGTTTAAGAGCTCACTATTTACCTCTTGCAAAGTAGCAGCACAGAGCTCAAGGGCGATGTATTGGAACTGCCGGTCTCTTTCTGTGCAAAAATAGCGGATCACATTTGGATGCTCATCGGACTCTCGCAACAGCTGTACCTCCCGATCAGCAAAGCTGAAACATTCAGGGAGAATCCTCTTCACAGCAACATCTCGGTCGTCAAATGTCCCCCTGTAAAAATTGTAATATGCAACAAAAAATATTTAAATCAACCAGAATTTTCCTGCAGTATTTATCATATTAACAGATTTAAAACTGAACTTAAAGGAAGTATAATCTAGAGGAAGTCTTGGGTATTGGATAAACCCATCAGGAAGCTGACACATGAGAATTTGGCTTGTTTTACCATAACAAAGACAACTTATGCTGCCCAAGTGTTTCAGTGGATGTGTGTTCTCTAACGCAGAGGGTTGGATCTGGGATTTTTTTTTTCTGCCCAAAGAAGCATTCCCTGAGCAGACTCCCCTTTCTGCTAGTGGCAGTGTTTTGAGCAGATGAGACATGCTTGTCAACTTCTCCCTTTCTCTGCAGCACCCCCCACTGTTCCAGAGGGTGCCCCAGATTTGGGAAGGCACACGGGACTGGAGGGGGTGTGGGAAATGGATCGACATTGCTGCCAGCTCCATTCCACCAATGAAATTCCTTCACAGATTAAAAGCCTCTTGTAGACAGAAGAAAGCTTTCTGTCTGCAGAAGGGATATTACAGATTCAACCCAGAAAGAAAAAGTAACATGAGAAGTATCTCTTAGAAAGGGGGCAGACAAAGATGCTGTAACTGCAACAGTTATGCCTATGGAAATTATTTTCTGTGCAGATGGATAGCAACAACATGAGAGCTTGATGCAGTCATCAGTACAGAGACACAGAAAAGAAAGTCCAGATATGGATGTTTCTGTGCTGAATGCAAAAAAAGCCTGTCTCCCCCCCACACATACAGGGGAAAAAAGCTACATGAAAGAGTTTCTAGTTCTATTAAGTGGTCACCATAAAATACTAAATTATTAAGCATGTGCCATGTCCAGTGCTTTACCTGTACACAATGGTTCCCTCAGCTCCATGTCCAAGAACATCCTTCGGGTTGAATGAAATCTTTCCAACCACGATCGTGGCTGGGTTTCCATCTGAGCAACAACAGAAGAGAGAGAGAGGGTGAAAGAGAGAAAGACCTCAATAAAGAAACAAAACCAAAAACAGAAGTGAAGGAAGATTCTTAGAGTGCTGCCAGGATTTTAAAGGGCTATTTTAATGCAGACCAGCATTCAGAACTAGAAATGCAAGTAAAATCAGGATATATGGCAAGATGCCCTAATATGACATTACCAAGACTGAAGTCCTCGGCACTCATGTGTGTGTCGTCCTGAACTCATGGGACTTACTTCCCTGCAGATGTGCGGAGCACTGTACTGTCAGCTTTGTAACTTCTCCATGGAGGAACAGAAAAGATCGGCCCTAGTTAACTGCTATTTCTGTAACTTCCCTACACATCACCTGAAGAAAGCATTTGTTGCCAAGAGGATGTGAAACTCTTGTTTCCCCCCCGGGACGTTTTGCTGCAGTCTTTAATATCACCCGAGGATATCCTTGACTACCTGTGCACCATGAAGGCACATGGAGAATGGCTCCAGGTGCCGTCCCACCACTTCCTGCGGGTCAGGTGCCCGTGGGAAGGAAAGGCTGCCTGGCCTTGCTTTCTGAGATGGGGAATAAAACAAGTATTCACATGGCTCCTGCAAGGGGAACTGTTTCAATGTTAGTGGAGAAATGCGAAGCTGCATGAAATGTATACCTAGTGTTGGACTCGATTCTGAAACTCTTGGGAGAGAGAGTGCTGCTGATTCCTCCCCAGTTCTCCTTGCTTAGACCTCAGCAGGCACACGGCCTTTTACTCTTAATCCCACCACAAAAAAGTTAGGCCAATTCATCACCTTCTTCTTGCTCAGCAGAAATGCAGCTCCCAACATCAGAGGCAGAGACGTTGGAATACGCAGAGTGGTTTGATGCTTTGGGAGACAAATTTGGTGAGCTGGTGGCTGAGCTGTCTGGCCTGACGCAGGGACCATCCAGGACTTCTGCCTCAGCTGGCAGCTCTATGGGAGGCCTGAAGGGCTGCTGCTTCAACAACTTTATCTTTTCCTCCAGCTGTTTCTGAAATTGCTGGTGTTGCCGCTGTTGCTGATGATGGATGCTCTTGAGAGGGGGAAAATCACAAGCAAAGGTTAACAATTAAAGTTGATTTTGTGTGGCTGTATTCCAATATCGTAATACATATAATCATTATGGGAATAAGGCTTTGGCTCGTGATGTTCCACCCACTCTCTTGGGCAAACTTCTGCTTCCACTGTCGAGTAACTTCATCTTGTGTTGTCCAAACTCAACAAATCCTGGTTAATTTTAACTGATTATAACCAGTTAAAAACTATGTTTTAACCATAGTCAAAGCTATGTTTTAACTAACCACAGTTTATGATACAAATGCCACACCAATTGTGGCCAGTCTCTTTGTGACCTGTTAGATCATGGCATCAGAATGGTACCTCAATCTTCAGCAGCTTTTTTGTAATTATTTTTGTTGATACTGTTATTTTGCTGATACTGTGCATATTGTAAATTGATGGTTTGTAAGCCACTTTCTGTGGGAGCTAGTAGAAAGGTAGGATTTATATTGAAAAAAATGAGTAAGATCTTGAAGAAAAAGTAAATATAACTTATTCCTCAATCTCCACAAAAATAAACTTAGCACTGTGCAAGGATATTGGTTTGTGGGAGAAAAAGATGCAAAAGAAATAGCAGTAGATTTTCACATCTATCCTCACAAAGTGAACTGCAGCATCACTGCTTGCGTTAGCTTTAATTGCTGGACTTCCAACTCCACTGAAAGCTGGTTTTAGGTAGGGTCAATAAATAGGATATTCATGGAGCAATGTATTTTCCAATAAAACTTTGCCTTATATCATTATTTACGTATTTCACTTTTACCTTAAAAAGCTTCCTTAGAAGGCACAAAGTCATTGACATGGATCATGTCTATACCTATTTACCTTTGTCATTGTTACATTGTTGGGTAGTCATAAACCACTCAATAGTCGTTAAAGAATAAAGACATCCTTGGCTTAAATTACAAACCAGTTCCTGGGGTTCCTTCCCCCCAAAGTGGTTTTGGAGCAGTTCTACAGAATTTTTTTTTAAAATGCTTAGAACTTTAAATACAGACCTGTGCAATTCTCTCTTGTATCTTATTGATACAATTAAAGTTGTATTTATTATTATTAAACAAATTATTAAAGTTTGTTAATTGTTCTGGGAACTCAATGAATCTATATTTGGTAGAATATGCAACTCAAATAAAGACAATCAACACAAAATAAAATGCTCTTGTTCTTGCTGTGTGCTCTGCATTAATGATGCATCTCTTTCTGTCGATAAACAAGAGTATCAAACGCTAAGTAAGTCCCTTACCATCGGATAGGTGATGACTAAGGCTACCCAACCAACAAGCAAGACAGTGCTCAGAATGACTGTGGCCATGTCCTTCAGCATGGAATCCACTGGTGCTTCTGGTCGGGGGACACTTTGGCTGGGTGTCTCTCCAGCATTCTCTGGAATGGGAGGAGGCAAGTCTTTTGGAGAACTGCCAGCCAGATCAATTGCCTGAGTGAACAAGAAGTACATGAGTCCAGAGGCTTTCATGGGTACAACCACTACCTCTTTTATAGTTACTCTGTTGCCGGCAACACACATTTATCAATAAGGATGATTTATAAAAAGTTCATAACATACAATTACATGAAAAAATCTCCATTCTTTAGAAAATTGCATCAAACTTGGCCAAACTTGGCAGTGACTGGAAATGAGAAAAACACTCTTAAACAGCAAATGGATGTTTCAGGTTGTCTGAAGACATGTTTAGCATCAACTGCAATTAATGCATAAAGTTAATTATATTAATGAAGTTTGTGAAAATTATAACTGTAGTATTATATCACCAATGGTATGGGTAAGGCATGTGAGTTACAGTCCCACAATATCCAGAGGTCCACAAGTTGCCCACCACTGGTTTTGATTCAATATATTGAAGAATGCACACAGTCATGCAAGTTACAGGACAAGTTCCTTTATCCAAAGGGCTCTTCAATGGATTGAGCTACAGCCAAAATCTATACAACTCCTGCTCACATATTCCTACTTTTGACACAGTTTGTGCTGTTCACGTCCCTAATGAATTTCTTAAGAGTCATTCCATCCACAAACCTCTCCGAAAGCAGCCTTGTCTGACTCTACTGGAATCACATTTTCTTGCCGTTTTGGTAAATTGCTTGGAAATTTTTCCAGGATCTTTGTTGGAGCTGATAATGGTGTCTCATGGTGACCTTGAAATAAGAATATGGCTTCTGTTATTTCCAAAGAAAAGCAATGGCCAAGCAACATTGCATGCTATATGAATACTGAAAATATGGGAATGTGTGGCATATTAATCAGGTGTAAAACAGGCTGCTGGATAAGACTGAAGGGTGTACTAGTTCTGCATTCTCCCTGCAGAAGTGGACAGCTTTCTTGGAGGTTTGCAAGTCTACAAAACCTTTCTTTGTGCTTTTTTCTCAGCTTCTACAGACTGACCCTGGACATGGAACATGGCTGTTGGCCACTCTCTGTGGGTTCACCCAGTCATTCTTTAAAACAACTTTCACAGCCTGCTATGGTAGTGCTTCCGTAAGTCAGAAGAGGGCCCAAGGCAGACATGGATCTACAGGCAGATTCCTTGAGTCTGTAGTCATTGTTAGTCCTTCTCAGAACAGACCCCATGAAAAGAATCGACTACCTAGGTAAAAATCAAGGCATCGTGGTGGCAGCGACTGCCGCCACTGGGCCTTGTTCAGGGCCTAGGATGTGCCTAAGCTCTGAATTCAGAGGCCTGCATGCATCAAAGGTGTAGGCAATGGGACTGCACCCTTGATTCTGGAATGTCCATCTTCTCCATGAGGCTCTGATTGGTGGGCTTCGGGGTTCCAGTAACAAGCAGTTCAGATCTTGCTCAAAATTCTGTTCTAAGTGTCTGTCTTTTGCACCAGGCTCCCATGATTCTAGGTTCTGTTAAAAACATGCAGAGCCAGCAAACCTGAAGTCAAACACTTGCATTTTTCATAGACTTAAAGACTTGCTCTAAAATGCTTCATAACTTGTCAGTTAATGATAGATGCCGCACAGAATCAAATGACTTTCTCATTAGAAACCATGCTTCCTCATTACGGGGTATGACTGAACAGGATAGGAAATCGGATTCAAATCCAGAGGGTGTTTTCCATAGTAAATGATCTTTTCCCTGGTAAGTTCAGCACAGCAGTGAATATTTTGCATTACAGGCACTGGAAGCATGGAAAATTGCTTAAAGCATTTGAGATTAAATGACGTCTGGCATGGAAGACATTAATCATGTTCTTGGCTTCTAGAAAAAGTAGCTTAATTCTTATAAGTGCACTACTGTTAACAAATTCATACAAAAGGGATGGTTTTCCCATCTCTTATTTTTCTTCCAGCTGGTAAGAAAGGTAAAGCATTGGTCATGGAAAGTGTAGATAATACATTTCAAGGATATGACCCATATTTTTATTTTGGATTTTGTCCATCAGAGGGCAGTGCAATGCAAAAAAAGTCTGATTTTTACTTCTTGATACCTATTAAAAGCCAGTGGTTCTTCAGATAGTGGAATCTGTTGTTTTGTTTAAATCCAGAGGCGAACTTTAGATCAGTACTTGGGGTGATGACACACTCTTCAATGGTGATGCCAGGTGTTTTGGGACCCTCTATCAGAGGTATGGGACTTCCCCGGGGCTACAGAGAAAAAGAAAAATCTCTAAGTACTATTCTGTGAAAAGAAGCAATGCTGCTTTGCTTCTTTGTTTCACAAAAACAAAATAAAACAAAGATATCATAATAACAACACTTTAAAAAGTTTATTTGGAATTTAATTTACTATTATAGCATAAACACTCAAGTCTATTCTTAAACAGATTATTGAAGGCTGTTGTTACTTTGTTGGCAAACTACCAGTGCAAAGGATATGAGCTATAAAGAGTCTACATTACTGACACAAGGTAAAATTCCCAGAAGGTAATTTCAGTTTTTTTATTGGTGATCCCAACCTAGAATTAACAGCACAGACAAAGAAGCAGTTTAGGCCCATAAACAAAGGTACAGGACAAAGCCAATTTCTGTGCTATATACGGGATGGGCTTCTCTGCTGGGATTGGTAAGATGCCATTATTAGTTGATAATGATTATACACAGCATTGGGAGCAGTACATAATTAATGGGCCATTCAAAAAGCACCACTTGCTACAATCCCTTTCGCTTCTGTCTACGTCTTCTGTTTAGAATGGGTAGATTCACACATACCCCCAAATCTCTTTGAAAAATGAAAGGTTTTCTTTTGCTGTCAGGGCAAAATAAGCTCTCACTCCTTATGACCTGTGGTCAATCAATTAACTCTGACTTAGGAGTAGTCATGCTGCACTGGTTATGAATCTGAATGGCGAAGAAGTAAGGGAAGGCACTGCTTTTTCTGCGTGGCAAGAGAGAACTGCACCTGCTAGAAATGGAGGCTCAGTACAGCTTACCATAATAGCTACTCCTTCATGAACCATGGACAGCGATGCATACAAGCCTGTGGAATACTTCCCTACGTAGAGGGTTGGCCTAGAAAAGCAACAGAGAAAGTTGGGAAGAATTTGTCACAGTGCTGTTGTTGTGGATGAATGGATGGATGGACCGAGATACACACACACACACCATACATAACCATCTGTATATGTAGCTATATACCATTCTTGATACCAGCATTCTTAACCTGATAGAATGACCAGAAATAAATGGGCCAATGAGAAAGCCTGGAGTTGTTTTCCAGAGGTGACGTGCCCGCCCTGCTGTTTGCAATGCAGCCTCCCCCTGGAAAGCACCAGAAACTGCTTCTGTGGCAGGACACGGGGGGTCATTCTGTGTGTGCTGGTGCAGCATTTGCACTGCCTGTTTATTCTGAAGCCAGGGCCTGATAGGAGCGGGTGAGCCTGCCCCTTCGGTGTGGACTGTGGCTTGGAACAGATTTCATACGGGTCACAGATGAAGGGGCCTCTCCGTGCTGTGCAGTATCATGGCCAGCTGCTGTCCAAGCAGGCATTCCAAGGGCTCACTCTATAAATCCTGCTAGTACCTTTTGTACAATGACCATTCATTTTAATGGGATGGAACTATTTCCTGTTTGCATTTCTAAACACAAATCCACATCGCAGTTTTCAGCTTCATTAATTAAATAAATATTTACGTTGTGCCACCCTGACTATGGAACCAGCTGTCCAAAGGGGAGTGCCTGGCACCTACTCTTTATTCTCTTTGGCACTGGGTAAAAACCTTTTTATTTGCCCAGTATTAAAATAGTTAAATACCTCCATACCAATTTGATTGCATTTGCTGTGGGTCTATTGCCATTGATTTAGTTGGTGTTATTGTTTTATTGTTTGTTTATTACATATTGTTTTTGTTTTTCTGTTATATGCTTTTTAACTTTGTGAACCGTCCAGAGAGCCTTTTGACTAATAGGCAGTATAGAAATCAATAAATAAAAAATAGTTTTGCTCAATGTCAGTATTTAATGCTTATATTGTGAATTATTTGATCTGAAGGAGCCAAACACAAATGTTGTTTTGGATGAATCTCATTGTGTGGATGTAATCTGAAATTGCACTTTGCATAAAGAATTCAAAAGAAAATGGAAAGATCATGTTTACTGGGATGAGCAGATGTTTTGGACTTCCAAAGTCAAAAACTAAATGTGTTCGAATTCAGCATTCAGGATTCCTGACCAATGGCCACACTGGCAGAGACTTCTGGGAGTTAAAGTCCAAAACATCTGGAGATCTGCCTCCTGCCCACCTTGATTTATATAAAACATTTAAACACGATGAAAATATATCAAAGTTGAACTGCATATGTGTTCTGGTTTTTACAATATATTATCAAAACTCCTAAATAACATTGTTCTTCCAATTTCCTTTACTTAAATAGCAGTGTACTTTGATTTCTGATTGCTACTGCAAATAAGGACTTGCCAAAAGCTGTATTAGCAGCAGTCTCACTCCAGCACTAACGCTATGATAAGCTCTCTCTACAGAAATGAAATAGTTGTGCAAATAGTTAGCAGCCCATTTGCTGCTGTATGGTTTTGACTGAAAGACATGCAAACCAATTTCTGTTCATATAGACTGCTTATCTCCTTCTTGCCATCCCCCCAAAATCCACGCATGAGGACTGCAGGACCCCCAAAAAGGCATGAGATGCAGCCCAAGAACCTGCAGCTTCAGAGAAGGGACTGGTGAAAATTGGCCAGCACTCTTATATGAGTAGAATCCCTTTCCATACAGGCACCGTTTTTCATCCAAGCTGTTTATTTTATTTAAGAACAGAGTTACACATCATACGAGAATCATAGAATAGTTTGGTCAGAAGGGGCCATGAAGGCCACCAGGTCCAAACCCCTGCTGTTGCAGGACACCACATTACACCATCCCACTGCTGCCCAGTTTCTTTTTGAAGGTCTCTAGTAGAGCCCACCACCTCTCTAGGCAACTGAATACATCACCAATGGAGAAAATGAGTATTCAGCCTTTTGTTAAAAGTTCACAAAAACACCTCTAAAAAGAAGTGAAAAGCCTTGTCTGATTTCCTGAAGAGCTTTTTAAGCATATATTTATGTGTGGCAATGTGAGCATTACTATGCTTGTACCTGACATATTCTTTCAACAGAACTCAAATACTGGATTTTTGTTGGATAATCTACAGTAATAGTGGGGCAGTCAGCTTCTTTCTCCATTCCATTCCATTCCATTCCATTCCATTCCATTCCATTCCATTCCATTTTTTGTAAAGCTCTTTGGTATTTTAAGAAATAGCAAGGGGAGTAAGTTTTAAGATTGACTTAACAGAATAATCTGGAAAGGCCTGAAAACTATAGACTTTGAATTATTAAACTCAGGTTGACTGCCTTCCATGATTTGAAGAACTAAAACTTTACAACTACTACAAAGTTCACAGTTTGCTTGAAGGGAGTAGAGACTTTAGGCAATAACTGAATTGCCTTGATATAATAAGGACATTTTTTATCGCATCATTGAACTGAAATATACTCACATTAATTTGCTTTTGGCCTCTGTTTCCTTGGGAAATGGGTACTTCCACTTAGTGATGCGTCCCACTTCACCAGACATGAACGTCAGGTAGCGCAGTGTTTCCACACCCACGTTTGTATGCATCACTTTCCACAGCCCTTCCCGCTGCCAGATGTAAAAAGCCACGACGGGGGAGCCGTAATTCTGGATCCACAAGACGTCCCCCGACTCACTGTCCACAGTCACCACCAGCCCATCTCCATTAGATGCAAAGTGGGACATTTCTGGAATGCACACAAACGCAAGCAATCACACAGAGCCCTTGCACAACATTTCAAAACAAGGTGTGGCAGTCACAGGACAACTTGCAATGAGGACCCATTCAAGGCTCTTACTGTATTGCACATCCTCATCAGGCAAGGTGGCTGCATAGTCGACATAGGTGGCGTTCCAGCGGAGCTCCTTACTCTTGGTATCGTACATCGTGATGGTATATTCTGTTCAAAGGGAATCCACAGTCAAGCTCTGCTTCAGAAGAGGAGGCCACCCACAGCTACTGCTCAAGATAACTGTATGTTAGTCCAGGGGTGGTGGGGATGCATCTCTGAGCATTAGTTGCTGGGACGCGAGCCGCTGCGCGAAAAGAATGCTGGGCTAGCAAAGTCTCTGTCCAATCCAGCTTAGAGGCTCGTGTACTCGAGGTGCAGCCCTATCCAGATGAATGTCAGCCTCTCAACTGGAAGGCTGATGATCATCCCGTGTACGGCAGGAGAAGAGGCAGAAGTGATCCATTCCTCCCTGCTCCTCCCACTTGGCCTTTTTGCTAGATGGCTGTTTTGGGCTATCAAACTGGGGCAAGTTGCAGGGAAAGGGAAGAAGGCCGCGGAGACACAGGGTATGTTTCACTCTAGATTCTGCAGTCTCTTCCGCCCCCTGCCCACCTGAATGCCCCCTTTACAGCCTCCTTAAGGTCAAGTTCCCGACTTCCAAGAGGCGGCTTGGCTGCTGGGATGGGCTTTTAAGAGTGCAGATTCCCAGCTCAGATCTCTTGTCTCCAAACTCAGACCTGGAAATCCAAAGTATTTTATAACCTTCACCTACTGTGATAGGATCATTCCTTAATTATATCAAACAAAACCAAGCACTTCTTTTTTCAGACAAAGCTCAAACCTGAATATTTTTTTTCTGTATTTCTCCTCCACTGGTAGTTGTAGACCTAATCACTTATTTGGTAGTAAAAGGCAAGCCAGATTTCCCCTCCACTGTTTAAATTTCATATTGTATAGGGCAGCAGTGAGGAAGGAGCCACTGCCTTCCTGCCCCAAATGTGAGTTTCCAGGAGTGGCTGTTGGACCAGATATTGGGATAAATGGATGGACCCCATAGTTTGCACCAGCATGGCTGTTCCTACATTTATTCCATCAAGACCAAAGCATTTGTGTGCAACTGTTCTTAAATAGATGTTTCGGCATAATCATCCATTTCTGCTGAATAAAATGAAATGCCAGAGAAACCACCAAAGAAAATGATTTATGCTGCTATTGTACACTTCACTGAATGTCTGCAAATGGCACATTCTCATTGTTGCATGAAGGTTAATGATTTTTAGTACAAAGCCTTCATCTTGAGAGATCAAATAAACCTCGTAACATCAGCATATCCTGTTCTGGTCTGCCTGGCTTTAAAAAGTTACCCTTTAAGTGGTAGAGGGAAGAACATCCTACCTGTTCGGCCAAGATACAGGAGAGATGTGGATGGGCACAGGCTTTCAGCAAACGAAGAGGTCAGGGTCTGCTGTTTCTCCCCCGTTGCAAGGTCTACCACATACCAGCTGTCTTGCTTTTTACCTAACAGGAAACATCAGCCGGGGAATCCAGTTCAGACCAGTGGTGTGGTGGAGCCAGGGGCCCAGGGAGGCAGCCTCTGCATTTCTTCTTAGCAGGGCTGCTGGTATCTTCTGCCATTCTACCCACAGTCCCCTGCTCCCACTGCGCTGAGCTGCAGCCCTCATCCTAGCTGGTGGGGAAACGAATTTTCTGAACAAGATATGGCTCCCTGCCGCAATGCACAGGCTTTTCACATGGCTTTTTCTTGGACGGGCAATTAAAGCCCATTTGATTTACCAAAGAGCTGTTTTTGGTAGAAATGGAAGCTGCCACGACTGGTTTGTTCATATGGATTAACAGAGCTTCTTGAATTCTGGGACTCTGGCGGCAGGGGTGGCTATGGGGATGGCCCTCATGATGCCATCACTTCAGAACCGATCCCTACACTCCTAATTAAGGGTGATTCCGAAAATGCTCCTACTCCTTAATTCCTTGCCTTCTTGCACCTGGACTCTCAAAATGTTGTTCTACAGAACGCCAGTTTTTGTTTGCTTGCTTTTCATTGCCCCTGGCACAATGAGGAAATGGAGAGTGATACAGTCATTGCTGAGCAATGTCTTCATTGTGAAACAGAAACAACAACCCAAATATTTATTTAAAAAATCTACCATATAACTGCAGTATTGAGTTAGATTGTGGTGGTTTACGGAAGGATTATAACAAGGCTTGTATCATTTGAGGTATGAAAGCCTAATGACAAAACATTGCTTTGCAAAAGTGCATTTAAATAAAGACAAGGATGTTAAAAAATCCCACAGAATTAAAAAAAACTAAAATTACACATCACAAAATATAAAGAGGGACAAAGAACCTGCAGCTGCAACTTGGAAGAAATTTCCAGCCAAGGCTCTTGCCTCCACACAGACCATTACACCTCATGCCGGTAGCTCCCCAACAGTAAGCAATGTACTCCGAGGAAGCAAAGTCGGCCTTACCCATGTACAGAACGCCATCTGAACTGCGGCAAGGAGACGCTTGAACTAGCTCAGGGATGGTGAAAGGCAGTTTCTGGAAGAGAAACAGTCCTATTAGCCATCTGAACTGAACAGTCGTTTTTAGTGAGGTTTGCAAGATAACAAATGATCAGCAAATTTCAATTCCATGCATGTGGCCATTTTAGAGTCACTTGAAATAGATCTGGGGTTTGTCTGTTCTAGCAGACGTCAGCGTGAGCTAGAATTATCAGCAATCTGCATGTGCTCTTGCGTCATATGATGTGACAAAGATTTGTATCGATGAAGCTGTGGCATTCACTTGCTGCCACTGCCAGTTGCCACTGTTAACAAAGCAGGTATTTCAACAGTTTCTGAGAGCCCGCTGGCCTTCTTGCCATTTGGCCTATCTGTTCTTCCAGTCTTGGAGGTTGAAAATGCAAGCTTTGTCTTCCCTGCAGCTTTACAATACATTGCAACATTGTTCACATTCCCTATAGGAGACTTTAATCTCCATTTTAAGAAACAAACACAGGAAAGAGAAGCAGATGCTAGTTCTCTCTGGTGTTGAGATGTGCATGTATTGCAAGAAGGGAGGGGGATGACCATTTAGTCTCTATTTGCTCCCTGACAGCCCAAAATGTACAGAACATGCTAATTGTTACAATTAGCTGTGCTTTGGTGTCTATTTCTCTACAGCGATCAGCATCTCTGCCCAGGATGTGTGCATCCATTGCCCACTAAGAAAGCACACCTCTTTTTTGTGGCTTCCAAGTTCACATAACAGGAAGCCTTTGATGTATCCAGTGCACAAGAAACAGTTAAGACCTTTTAAATTAAGGTGAGAAGAAAATCTTGTAAGCATGCCACTTCTCTTGTTGGGCGGTCACCAAGTGATTCCTGATTTGTGGATCATGCTGGTCCACCCTTGGTCACACTAGTCTCTGGTCCTAGTCTTTTGGCCACCCAAAGGTGCAGGGTGTCCTGTTTCCCTGGTGATCCTTCTGCTGTGAGTATCTTACCTCAAAGAGCTTCACACAGGTTAGCTAACTACCTGGTTAACTACCTGGTCAGTTTTCCCTTTTGCTCTCTTAGTACTGTTCCACAGCCACTTAAGTTAATTTCCAGGTCTATGAGCAGAGAATGGAAATCCTTGACGTGCCTCACAGGAAGACAATACACTGCAGTGGATTGGGGATCATCCCGACAAAGGGGTGACCATATAGTGGCACACTGAAATAAGAAGATGACTTTAAGAGTGTTCATAAGCACGGTGTGATTTTTATGTTTTTGTGGGAAGATGAAGAATGCAGCACAACTGCTACCCCCAGGACCTTAATGTACTTCTAAGACCTACAAAGGCACCTTCCAATAAGTAATTCTTAACATTCCAAAGGGCACATGAGATTAAAAACACACTCACAATGTTCAGGAAAGGCTGCTGCCTACACCAAAAACTCAAAAAGTATATTAGGAGCATGGGAATGCACCTCACGCTGGCTCAGAGTATTTGTCTGTCTGGGCCAGTATCGTGTGCTGTCTGGCCATGGTTTTGCCAGGATTCCAATGGAAAAAGGCTTTTCCCATGAGCTCCTCCTTGATTATCTATGCACATATTTAACATTGGAGATGCAAGGGATGTCTATGTCCTTCTGAGCATTTGAGAGGAAACCTATATTGGTTAAAATTATAAGAGGAAGTTGAAACAGCTTCAGGAAAAGACGCTTGTAAAAAACCAGCATTTATCTCCATTTCATCACAAAACTTCAGTTAAGAAATTATGCAATGAAGGAGGGAATATCAGACATGTTTAATACTTTATGTCCTTTGAAAGCATAGCTAACAGATGCATAGTAGGAATCCAATACATCCGTCCCATGCACATTTTCCTCTGGAATAGGTTGTGTTTCTTGACAAGATTGCTGAATTCCTTCAGACTATAATTAAGTGCCTCATGTTGCTCCAGGTGCTTCAAAAGATGCTCCAAGGACCCATTAATCTTGTTCAAATGCTGCATATATAACATAATTGAAAAATAAGCCAAACATTTAGACTCATATAGCCAAAGAAGTCTGTCCTGAAGATAACAATGCACATTCAGTTCTTTCAATCCCTGAATCAGCAGTTCGCGAATCCAGACAAGCTGGCAACACAAGGTGGGTGCAGCCATTCCTGGAATTAGTATCCTAAAGTTGGCAGCAGCAGTTAGCAAGCTTAGTAGCCAATTTCCCAAGCTGTATGGGATACTGGTAAAGGCAAGAACTCTACCCATAGAACTTCACAGCATTTTGAGAAACGAGGGAGGCAGCACAATGCTTAGAGAGATCAATATAACTTCAGTCTCCATGGACCTAGATTTCTGCCTCAAAGAACTGCCAATTATATTAGGCTGGTTGAGCCACACCTTCTAGAGTCTAGAACAAAGAGTGCCTTACTCCCTGTTTCTGTTTTCATTTAATGCATGTTTTCCATGGGCTACAGTGGGCAAGTTCACAGGTAACGCCAAATCATTGGGTTTACGTTCCCTCTTCCCACTTCTGTTCCCTTCTTTTACTTGCCCTAATACTCAACTCATCTTCCTTGTTCAAGGAAACAATAATAGCCAGGAATTACATATGAACTGGCCAACAATGGTTTGCAGTTACCCTTCAAGCTGAAACTGGAAAAGCATAAGAAGGCATTTTCACTCACACTAGTTAAAGTCAGACTAGTCTATTGCAATGCTTTCCGACTAGGGCTGCCTTTAAAGACAGAAAGTTCAGAAATTTCAGCAGATGCAAAATCCAGGTGTGAGAAAGCTTGTGGTAAGCTTGCGCTTTGATCATGCTGCATCAATTTTGCCTCAGTCACATTGGTTACCCACGTGTTTCTGGGCTCAATTGAACTGGTGCTGGTACTAGAGGAAACAAACTATTTAGAGAACTGATTCTACAGTTTCATTTTAAGGCATGGTTTGTTTTGCCTTGCTTTGTTTTCAATATTAGCTGTTGACGGCACTCCACTATACCACTCAAGGATAACAACACTCATGTGACATTTGATTTTTTAAAAAGGACAACTGACAGACCTGCCCTCTTTAATAATGCCATAACATTTTATTCTCTTGATAAAAATCACTTAAAATTATTGGAAATCTGTGAATGCTTTTTGCCTGTGAGAACACAGTTACCACCTGGCCAAATTATACATACAGTCAAGCCTTCGTTATTCTTGCCACCAAGCGTGTACAGACTTCCATCATTAGGATCAGGAAGAAATGCTGGCCTAGGACTTAAAACAGAAATTAATACATTGCATTAGCGGGGGTGGGGGAAGAAACACAATAATAGCACATAAGAAACAGTAGTCCATAAGAAAAGAGATCTTACACTTTCTTTTAAAAGGGGAAATATTTATTTTTAGCTTGGTTCAGCACCTCCACCATTTTTATCACAATCCTAGTCCTGTGTGAGATAGGATTAAGCTACATTTTCACTTGAACTTCAAAGTTAATCTAATGGTTATTTTATAAGTTGGTGCTTCCATAAAGAAATAAATCTTTAGGTCAGGTAAAAACAGAGCTGTTATTTGTTAGCTGTTAATACAAAATTGCATCCTGCTGAAGCAAAAAATCTTGGTGCACTTTATGGCTAATAATTCATTGATAATTAGATCACTGTTGGTTGGATTATTGGAATAAACTTCAGAATTCTAAGCACATGGGCAAAGATCAGGCCTGTAATACTTTGTTTTGAACTTGGTTTGATAACCTAGTTTTAAGGGGCCCTTAACTTTCTGGTTCAGGAGACACAGGAAATTGTAGTTTAACAAACCTTGGAAGTACTGAATCAAAGGAAAGAGGGTACAAAGGGGAAGGGGAAACTAGGGACAAGTTTGTGTTCTTGGCTTGTTTCCAGTCTGAAAAACTATGGAACAGGTTCACCTGCCCAAATTGGACCATTCACTTCAATTACTGAACAATTCTGTGGCCCCAAACACTGACTGAGGGGCCGCAGGACAATGGCAATGCCTACCTCTGGGATCAGACAGAGCTCCAGCCTTGGGAAAAAGCATCGGAGATCTGACTCAAGTTCCCCTGAAACCACCACAAAAGGGCCTGCACCTGCTGGCCACCAAGGTGGGAAAACTGACTCTGGAGAAGGGGAATGGGGAAATCCTGGTGGCAGGTGAGGCCAGAATGCATGCGATCTGGACCCTCTTCCAGCTTCCTCCCCTTCCCTTGGGAAGTGCTGTGGGCAGATGGACAAAAAGCCTGTCCAGTTGGAGGGCAGGGAGGTGAAGGTCACCTCTGCCATCCCTGCAGGAGTCCATCCATCGGAGCCCTGATGCACAGTCACCTCTGAGCTTGGAGGCTTCCATCTCGTGAGAGGAGGACCCATCAGACCAGGTCCTGAGCCATGCAGTGCAGAATAACTCAACAGTAGCAGCTTCCTGAGGGTCTCAACTTGCTATTGCCACAGACATTTGTGTTCTTAAGGAGCTGATTAAAAATGAAGTATTTTCTTATCAGTAGGTTACATAATTTTGGAGACTAAAGCTTAGAGTTCAGCCTCCAAGAGTTCAGTGTAAACACTCTGTCCTTACAAACGGATGGTTGGGGAATGGGAGATCATATCATTATACTGTGCCCTACCATGAAACCAATAAGAGGAATTAAACCTGGCAGGCTGGATTATTTATTTTTAGTTCTGGGGGGAAACTTTGAAATAATGTTACCCCCTAGGTGACCTCAAAATAGCCCATGCACTAAGTCACCATGTTTTTCATGGCCATTCCAGGGCTGGGAAGGTAAAAGACTGGGAGCGCTTCACCTCTATATTTTCTGTAGGAGACCGCTGTTGAACACATTGGCACCAAGCCAATAAAAAGCTGACTATACCAGTTCAGTATAGGGCATTCCTATATATGGGATAACATGCTGGGAAGCACAGTGCTGACCTGGTTCTTCCCAGCATCTTTGAAATGTAAGCTGACCCAAAGCTCTAATCCTAAATGCACTTACACAGAAGAAACACCCACTGAAATCAGTGCAATTTGCTTCCAAGTTGGGATCAAGCTGCTAAAACCTACTTAAATGGAAGTTGGACAAGAATTTTACAGGAGAGTTGGGCTGGATTCTAAGAACTCTGAATAGATGTTCATTTGCAGAGGTCTTCTCACCTCTCCCTTCCTACTGTAGTCATCTCTGGGTTCATCCTGTGCAAACCAAAGCCACTTCCACCCATACAAGAAAACTTTTTGTTTTAACTCACAAACTTCTTTCATTTGGGGGGCGATTTTGTGGGTAAAACTAGCAGCAGTAAATATTCAGGCTCTAATCCAAAAAACACCAGGTGCTGGAAAAAGATTCATGTACCAGGTGATGGAAAAAGTAGCCGTGTGTACATTTGCAGGGTTTTTGCCTACTTCCTCTGCAGCATTACTCACGATGAACTCCGAAACCAATTTGGAGCTTGGTACAGAGAGCTGGAAAAGATGAAATGAACACCTGCTTCATTTCATCCCACCTGCTTTCATAAACGGCTCTTGCACACAGGCCATGGGTTCCAGGATGCTTGCAAACCACTGCAGCCACTTAACCTTGCCAGAACTGAACATTATAACAACTCAGAGAAGGTAATTATGCGAAGTAGGCAGCTCACAACTGGAATGCACCAGTGGGAAAGCAAGCCACTATGGCTTGATTTTCTTCTGTGATGGTGTGGACCAGTCATTCCGACTCCATCTCTGCACCTATTATCTGGGGCAACTCAATGGCTTCCATATAATTTTAGGATGCATTTGCCAATGTCTTCCTCTTGTCAATGAAAACTAAATTGCTAACTATAGGAGTTGGAGGGGTTGGGGTACTGAGAAAAGAAAGCAGACTTACTCTTCCACATGTAAAGGCACCTGGAGTACAGGATCTGCACAAACACAACAGAACAGAATAGAGTCAAGGTCTGAGCAAATAAATGTCTTGACCACAAGTTTGCAGTCTATGATGTGACTGCCACCACCTGTTTCACATATCAAGAGGATTGTGTGTGTGTGAAGGGGGGGTGTTGCAAGAAACAAGGACATGTAATGGTAAGGTTCAATCAGGGAATGGTTGGGTCAATAGCAATACCCAGTACAGGCCAAGAACTGGCCAAAATGAGACCCCTGGGATACCACTATTAGCTAGAAGCTTCTCAGTTGGGAGAGGTTTTCTTCTTACTTCCTGCTTGTACTCACGGCTTGTGAACTTTGCCCCTCCTATTCCCATTTTTGCTTTCACCTCTCTCTTTGTCCCATCTTCCCGTTTCCCACAGTTCAAAAAATATTGCTTGACAGCCATTTGGACTGTGGCTTTTCCTTATATTTCTCTACAAAATGTCATGTACGTAGAGTAACAGCAGTATACAAACTACAACAGCTACTACCACAATCATAACAACAACAGCAACAATGTTGGTACCATTTGCAGTACTGAATCTTGCTGCAAAAGGTTCTCAGAATTTGCAGCAAGTATTGAACTTCCCAGAAACACAATGGCTGCTTCTTCATCAGATAGCAATGCTTTCTTGCAAATGATGCAATAGTCTGAGCTTGGTCAGCCTAGGAAGCAGAATATGATCTGTACCGCAGATTACTTTAAAGACAGAATGGAAGGGGCCCCAAATCCAGTCCTGAACAAAACACTTCCTCTTTCTGGCCTAAACGGCTTCCACAGTACACGTTTCCTTCAGGAAAGGCAACAGTTTCCTTTCCAGCTAATGTCACTGACAGTCTGATATGCCCCAGTGTTTTCCATGTTCCCTTTTCAAAGGGAAGTGGCAAGAAGGAAAGAACTAATTAAAGGGCCAGAAGCAGGGGAAAATGGGGCTTTAGCTGAAGCAGGATTTATGTCTGAGCAAATATACATTAGGTTGTGCCCCTAGAGGCCAGCTTTGTGAGGCTGGAATTGGGGAACATACTGCTACATTTATTACTGTGTGCAAGCAGTATTTAAATTCTCCTTTTGGCTGCTTTAGGAAGAGCAATGCTGAGGCATTGCTATAGGCACTTTTCTCTTAAATAAAAGAAGTGGGGGATCAAAGAAAGAAGCCGCTGTGGCAACTCAGGGTGTCTAAAATGCGCCTTTCATTCATGCTTGGGTTGGGGTTGGGGAAAACTTAGTTGTGAGAGAAGAGAAATTAATCAAGGCTGCAATCTAATACACACCTAGCTGGAGAAAGTCCCATCAAACTGGATGGGACTTACATCCTAATAAATATCCACAGGATCTTCCCAGTTCTTTTGTCAATTGCTATTACAGTTTGCAGCGTATTATGTGGCCTTTTATTGCTTGCAAGAAGCAAACAAACAGAACGTGTGTATACTTTTAATCTTCCACTCACAAAATAATTGCAAGGGTTTAGAAAATTTAGAAAGAGAGATTTTTAAAAGGGACTTGGTCTCAGCAAATGAAAGTAATAGCACTTACGGTGACCAAAGAAAACAGGTCCATATGCTCCCAATGCCTAGTGCTATGAACAATTTTAGATCAGCTTCCTGCGCGCACAAACAAAATGATGCAAGAGCAAAGAAATAAGGGAACAGGTAATCCTCTTACAGACAGGCTCTGAACTGCTTCACACAAGGCAATTCTTCCACACAAACAGAGTGCCACCTCTTTCTGGCAAGGCTAGGCAGCTGGCGCTTTCCCAAGTTCTGGATCGCCTTGCCAGACCCCGGGCACTTTCTGCCTGTTAAGCAACTGCTTAAAGACACAAAAGCCCCAGCAGGTCCTTCCACCAAAGTCTGTGCAACCGCCCTGCCTCATTCATGGAATTTTATGAGGGAATCCAGACAAGGCTGCCATCCATTTGTGACCCTCCTGTGCTTTCATACCACTTTCCCCATCGTTTTTCAGACCACAGGAAATCCACTGAGGAGTAGAAGGAGGAACAGCTGTACAACTGTGTGATCCATCGCACTGGGGGTCCTCCCGCCAGAAGCAGCCCCTGCACACAGATCTCACCTCTCTGTTGAGCACCCCACGCACACATTAGCTGTGACCAAGCCACCTTTATCTTTCCGTGTCCCAGCATAGCAACAACTCCCCCTTGTGCATTCAAGGAAAAACAGAAAGGTGAATTTCTGCACATTACAGTGCGCAGACCATTTTCGTACATGGACCTGATGGACATGCCGTGAAATAACCTCATGACGGATGGACATTTTCAGACCCAGGATTCACTTTGGTCCCAATCACAAACAGAGGGCCCACTTCATATTTGGCCATATGCCTGCCTGCCTGCTGCTGTAACCCAGTTTTTCAGAGCACGCCCTTGTGCAGAAATGATGATGGCAGCACAATCCACCATCCATCGGATGGATAGCCCAGCCCTGGCTTCATCCGTCCAAGCAGGGTGGTGATGCTGAAATGATGATGAAGGGACAGCACAAGGGCCTCCTTCCATTACTCAGACAGCCTCCAGAGAACTCTGCAGGATCCTTCCAATTTTTCCTTTTGAGAGAGAGAAAATGCGTGGCCCGATGTCCACATAATCGGGTGCTCACACTGCGCATTACCAGCACAGCGGACGGCGTCCGATGCCTCTCCTTTTATCATGCTGCATCAGCACCACCCTTGCCAGGAATGAGAACCTAGATACAAATCGTGACCCAATGACCAAAAGTCCAGAGTGAAGCAGACGTGAGGACTGGAAGCAGCACATATTCCTTCTGCGGATCATTATTTACTGCCTGTGAATACAGCGGAGCTATTTAGCAGAACAGCAAACCTGCTTAACCCCTATTTCAGGCCACGACATATTCAAACTCGTCCTTGTGTTAGCAATTCCTTCCAGAGAAAGTTGTCTAAACAATCACAAGAGCTTTTTCCTTGACAGCAGTGAAAGGTTTCTCCTGAACGGACTGGATTTCTGACTGATCTAGATACTGATCTAAATTTATTTCTAGCTTGCCTTTAAGGGTGGGGTCTTCCTGCTTTGCACTGCTGCCCTTTTGCCCTTCGGAGAACATAAGAAGAACTGCACTTGTAGGTTTTGGCCCCACCCCTTTTGCCTTTGGCCACACCCACCACAACCCCGCCCCCCGTTTCTCCAAAACTGAATTTCACTGAAAGAAGGTCCCCACTCCTGTCCTGAAGGGTGCCTGCGGCAGAACAGAGTGTGTTCACGCAAAGCAACTTGGGCGTTTACCAGATAATGTGGAGCTTGTAATAGGTTGCTGTTCACACATTCCCTGACAGCGGAAGGAGAAATACTGGGGTTTGGCAGAGTTTATGATTTTAACAGGGGCCTTCCAAAGGGTTTCTGTATAAGACCTGGCCAAAGCCAAAAGACTGGACTTTGCTAAGATTGCAAATGCATCATTATTATATAAACCACCGTCTCTTAACATTCTGAAGCATTTTTTTCCTCTTTGAACAATTCTTATTATTTGCTTGTTGAATTCTGAGCCTTTTGTATGGATGGGCCCCATACTTTCATGCTGTGTTTAATAGTGATAAAGGTTAAAGGTCTCTGGAGAAGAGAGCTGCCGCAAAGCACCTGTTCAACATCACCCCACCCCAATAGCCCCTCAGTGTGGCTCACCAAGATGTCTGGGAAGGGAATTTAGTTTGTGATCTTATTTGGGCGGGAAGTTGTACCTTTGCAAACTTTGAAGTATCCCTCAAGTTTGCTTACCTCTCACTTGGGCCTGGCTCGTTCCAGTTTTGCTAGATAAGAATCACTGAAGAACCAAGTCCACAATAATATATAACATTATAATCAGCGCCGTCTTAACGCATGGGCCTGATGGGCAGTTGCCCGTGGGCCCCATACTAATCTGTGTATGCTAACCCTTGGAAAATTGGAAAACTTCCAAAATTAACAGTAGCTGTAGTTGTCACAGGGGCCCCAGTACACTGCTTTGCCCGGGGCCCATAATGCTGTTAAGACGGCCCTGATTATAATATATTATAACACAAAGCTCAGTTGAATGATCAGGGAATGCAGCATGCTTTGTTCATGGGGCTGGGAGACACAATTTGTTTAAGATTAATGGAAATGTAAAGACAAAGGCAATTAAATGGAACAAGCAGGGAGAAGAACCATGGGGAAAGGGTCTGTTTACTGTCAACTGTTTGTCTTTCTTTTACAAGCAATGGGAGTCAGCACAGTGGGCAGATTGAGAAGATACTTTATGCTTCAGGTGGTACAGAGCCACCTGGAGGGGGAAGTTGCTGGGGGGCCCAACCGTGCTGGCTTAATGATCAGGGGCAAGGGGGCCCTCATTCACTGCTGGAGCACACTGGAAACAGATGATGGGCACAAAAGTTGCCCCTTTGGGCACTTTGTCAGTTGTCATTCGCTAAGGGAACCTTCTAATGTTTGGCTTAACCATGCTGTCCGGATTCAGATGAAAACCTAAACTGTACATTTTCCCCTGGCAGACTACAAAATGCTTAAAAAAAGAAGAAAATAGGTAGTGCCTCAGTTAGGTGAGAATGTAATGATCATACTAAAGGCACTGTTCAAGGCAAGTGAAGTAACCAACTGACTTTTCAGGTTGTCTTGGTGAACTGCTTAGGGACTGAAACTGCTCATCTGCAAAGGGAAATGCTGTCCAGATTTGAAAGATAGCTCAAAAACAAAGTTGAGCAACGCCCATTGTAAGCTGCTCTGGGTATTTTAGGAGTGTATTTTCATGAAAGAATCATAATTCACCTTGAGATCTGCTTCAGGGTGAATATTTTAGATGCCAAGGTGAGCTTTTCAGCATGTGCTTGTGAAGCTTCATAGCTACAGCCTGCTGGATTGTGGCTGATGTTAAAAGATGTTTAGAAACAACCTGCTGCATCAGAGTCAAATGCCTTTTGGTGCAGCACCAAATTGGCAGTTGCTTTTTCGGGGGTAGCTCAACAAGCATCCTTTTGTGCAACAAGATGCAT